AAGCACGTTGGCAACGGGAGGGATCTCTCTTTGATGTCATTCGAGCGTATCCGTAGGTGAGAGAGGAGGCGTGTAGTTGCGTGATTGCATTTTTCCACGCGCCGGAACGTACTGTAACGTAACACTAGATGGGTATATATTGTACAAAGGCACTTTTACCATCAATCCACCATCCACGTCAGTACAGGGTTAGATCAAAAGAATCACCGAAAATTGTGACCATAACCTCAACCCAACGCACTTGCATGTCAATTTTTCTTTAGGTACTCTCAACCTACACTTATTCTCTTTGTTATAGATTTTCCAATAAACCAAGTAGCAGCAGAACTCTCGAGAATGATACTCTACTGAAGCCTATCTACAATTACTTTTATTCGTGGTTCTAGAAGCTTCCACTTGCTGAAACGAAATTCGGTGCAAAATCGTTTGGTTAAGTATCAGAATGTAGGATAGTCACTCGACACATACAGAACGTGTATTTGATGGCAGTCGGTTTTCCTCTTCAAGAATCAATATGCAGTTATGTCTGATATGGCGTATTATCGTGCCGTGGGCTGCCGTCGATGCGGCACCGGTGAGTTGTGCTGATGGCAGTCGCCGTCATAAATGCTTGAAAGTCTATAAAGGCCTACGGTAAATACCAACCTAACGGATACGAGGAATGGCGTACATGGCGCTGATACTGCCGACATTAAAACCATCAGATTGTATCGCGAGCTTCGTCGAGCTTCAAATGGAATTTTATGGTGCTTTTTTTCGGGTCAGAAAGTGTTCCTGCACGTGGAAGGGCACTTTGTACCACTACGGGATACGCGACGATTCAAACCCCTTTTATAACACCGGTGAAACGTGGTTGCGCACGCAGAACCGGCTCGTAGTTTTCTTACAGGTAAAGTTGTTAGTCATGTTGACTTTTTTTTTAAGTAATTGAAATGCAGCCGGCACTCCCTGCACGAGAAAAGTTCTCGTATCTCGGCGCGAGACTCGAGCCTTTTTTGGTAGCTGGTACGAGATTTGTATTACATATTTGAAAAGCACTTGAATTTTCAAATATACAGAAAGTCATCTTGTTGGTCCGAGCGATTTATGAAGGATTTATTCAAGGTGCGAGTCTCGTGAGTTTTAAAGAATCATTATCTCACGGAGAATGGTTGTGGGGGCACAATTGACCCGGGGTTGATTCTCAAAAGTTTCAGCGGACACGTGGAACGGACGTGAATGCATTTGTCAAATTAATTTTTCTCGCTGAACGCGTACGCCAAATACCTAAGGCCGATAATATACGATGCTCCCGTGCTAACGGGGATGCCATTACTTAGGCGCAAGTGGCTGGTTCTGCGTTAGAAGCTTCTAGTGCAGATTAACCGATAATACTTTATATTCGTTTTACGATAAATGGATACGTTTTTTTTCCTTTGTTTTCTATCTTTGATAAAGTTACGCCGTGTATACTGGTATGGTAATTTTACAAGGTTTACACGTATATGCCATGCTTATTTGAAATACGATTACACGATCGTGGTTTTTCGCAGTACTAAAAGAAAATCTGAGTGTGAGAAAAAGATACTTACAAAACACATGACTGTAGAAGTAATTACAATTTTACAATGAGCAGGGGTGGCAGCTGAGTGGCTGTAGGCGCGGATGTTAAATTATGAATATGGGAAACGTCGACAGCTCACGGCAATGTCGGCATGGACTGAGGGGGTACAGTAGTACACCAAGTATGCATGGGCCATACCGCGGCATTCGTGTATAATTAAAATGCAAATTAAAAAGCATTTCCAGACGAATCCAATTATTTATGCACGGAGCGTTTTATTTCATTGTCGGCACTGCTGCCCGCAGAGGTGCCATTCTCAGAGGGTGAGCTGAGTTAATACTGAATTCGCTCCTTTTTACTGGAACCACTGTAATTCAAGCTGCAATTTAAACCTTCTTTACATACGTTACGTCATTCGCATCCTGACGAGATCCAGAGACTCGTCAACGAAGCGAATTTCAGAAAGAATACCACAGATTCTTGGCGACACGTTAAATTACAATTCGCCACGAGAAAATTACATTACATTTACTCTGTGTACGGTCCTCACCTGCTTTCGCTATAATATAGAAAAAAAACAGCTTATAAATCCATCCTGTTCGTATTACCCTTTCACGAAATTTCCTCGTGCGCCAATTTTACTTTCCAAGGCGTACAGTCACTTCGCACGTCAAGCCACTAATTCGTTACACTTTCGCGAAACGCGTGGAAAGTTTCTTCCTGGTACGTAGGTAGCTACTGCTTGCTGACAGTGTTGTTGAGGTTTTACGTCGTACGTACATAGAGAAGCCATGACGGGCATAGAACATGCGACACGGTAACAAGGGAGACGTCAAAATGCAGCACCTTCCCTAGGTTTCCTCATCTGCCGCTACTACAGCAGCAGCAGCAGCAGTCCTGTCAACCCGTCTCACAGGTATAAAGGAGTTACTTATTTCTTCCGTAGCAAACAAGGCGTAGTTTATTTACCAGTCTGAACTTTTCCTGTATCATAGACTAACTAATCTAAAATTGGTATCTGTCAGAATGGCTACGCCACTATGTTTATCGACTAGTCTTTGAATAAATACATTATTTCAAATAGACTAGTTCAGTGTACTATAACGATAAGGTCTTTGATATATTGAACTTTTGAAAAATCAGAGTGCGTGTCTCGTATGGAAATTTTGCATCAGTTTCTGTAATTCGCGAATCGGCATTCAAATGATAATTAGGAAATTATGCAATATGAATGAAATATACATATGTGCATGCACTGCGTATTGCTATTGATATAATGATGTGTATAGGAAAGGGACGAATGTACATGAATGCTTTTGCTGGAAGCTACTGTTATTTCTCTCTGATGACTTCGAAGTGTGTTTTGCAAATGATACAGGCACCAGTGGCCCGCGGGTCTTCGTAATAAAAATAAAAATAACCGATCCACAGCGGCCAACGGGACGAGTCAAAAGCTTCGCGACAAAGGGACCGCAAAGGACGGAAGGTGAAAGTGTAATTAGCCAGTGATCAGTTGCAGCTGTATGATCACAGGGGTTTTCATTCTCCAGCGATTCGCTCTTGTGACTGTGCTCAAAGCCATCGATCTATTTGTGTGCCTATAATATATGCATATATAGACACATCCTGTATGAGACTATGATGACGTACATCCTGCAGAAAAGCAGCTATCGGTTCGTCATAGTAATATCCAGGGTATCGGTTATTTATATTATTTATATAATTTGATCAGTATCCAATTGTAAATGCAAATGAAGTAAAGTTTCTTTCCCGTGGTTTATTTGACTTGTATAAATTTAAATTAGGTAGTGATTAGCGTTGGGTCGTTCGGTATATCATTAAATTTAGTAATTCAGGTACTAACGATATTGAACGCAGTTATAAACTATGTTTAATGTCACATATGTGGAATGGCTGCTGGATAATTTTCCTTTCCGTTTGTGCCGTTTCAAATTATTATTCATTCGTCACGCATGTTAATATGGAAACGCATTAATTTACAGCTCGTTAAGATTTCTATGTCGAGTCGGTAACAATAACCGGTGAAATTTCGAAATAAATGATAATGCAGAATTCACGTCAATGAAACGAAAAATCGATAGTCGCGAAGCGAGAGATTTTAAAATATGATGCCGCTAAGTAAATGAGAAATGATTACCGTTCCTCTTTTTTATTCGTTGTTCGAACACGATTTTAAATTTCGACTATTATTTCCACAAGAGAAATTTATGCTCTCGTACAAGACTGGATTATCAGGATAACGCGCATGAGGTAATAAATAAGGAGAGAAATGAATATTGCGGTACTAAAAAGAAATTTTTATGATTTTCGAATGCTTAAAAAAAAATATCTTTCAACAGAAGAATTCTTTTAACGTAAATCTTATGCTAACTTTCGACGTACCTAGTGGCCACGGTAACGGCGTGTAGACATCAATGACGCAATTGCATACCAAAGCATAAAAATATTTTTTTTAAATGTAATAAAATTTTCATTATATTTCGTTGCATGATTCGTCGCTTGTGTGACGCAACAATAATTACGTATCAAAAATAATTCGAAACTTTATTATTGGAAAATTGCCATCGACCATTGTGTTTCTCTAGCCCATACATTAATTAATTCCCTCGAATTCTGCGCTAAATGAAACTTGTGTGACAACGCCATGTGCAGCCCAAACATGCAAACTGAAATGCGTTGCACGGTTCATCCCCTATTCTAGAATTGAGGATACGCCTGCCTGCCCATATACCCACGTTCACCGTCCCACGTCCAGAATGCTCCCGCACTATGCTAATTGAAGTTATACGCGCAGTCACTATTACAGGGTGAAATTCATTCACAGCCCTTTGAATAGTCATGATCATTTCTATTAGTTTATCGCTTTGAACCGCATGATTGACTTCATACGCCGATTTGCCTGTTGAGCGTCATAAATCATTCGAATCGATTTACCGAAAGGTCCGTCAGTGGTTAATGCACGCGTGACGAACTTGAGTCTGGCGAGTGTTTAATTTCGAAATTAGCTAATACGATTACCAAAATCCGTTAGTACGGGTCAATATGGACACGTGGACTCAGCGAGTAGATCTGTTTGGTCAAATTATTACAAAGAGGATTTGTGTAAAAGAGAGAGAGATGATTGCAAGTCAAATTTCCCGCCATTGTCGATTAACCGCCATCAATTATACGACCATGAGAATAGCGATTAATTAATTAAACGTCACACGGTATACTTTTAATGTACAATAAAAAAAGTACACAAAATTTAAGAAGAAAACCCGATATCCAGTTTTACAGTGATACACTAAGGGAATCGTGTGAATTTGAATTTCCCGCCATGGTTGGTGGGCTGTGGCGTAACAATTACCAACCGTGGCACGATCTTGGGAATAAAATTGTATTTAATGTTGTAGCTCTGATAAATGAACGGTGACGGCGGAAGAGTCGAAGTGTCAGAGGATTGGTAAACGTGTGGTGCTGATGGATAGCTAATGAGACGCGATGAGGACCGCCCTCCCCAGCCTACATCCGTTGCTGCCATATCTCACCGCAAGACTCCATTAGCGGCCGCCTAATTGGCCTCGCGGATAATCAAGTGGCCCACCGTCTCTACTTACGTACGTGTCCGTTTGGTTTTACATATGGAGGTACAGTCAAGCGTGATTCATTTTTATTCTATGCGCGCGCGGGTACGTTCCAATGAAAAAGTTTCACGAGTGTGTTTCAGGCTGACTTGAACGACGAGGTAAGGACGCGGGCTTGTGCGCATGCGCAGAATATATTAAAGATGGACGAATTCCAGTCATCTCGTACATTACAGAAGAGACAGGTGAGGGAATGACTGAACAATATATTTTCGTCTGGTGCTGTAGTTACCAAAAAAAAAGGAAAAGAAAGAGAGAAGATACAAAAGCGATATAAAAATTAAAGATACAAAATAAGGTATCTCGTAAATATGCAGGTGTTTCAATTAACCGCGCTTTCCCTTAAGAACCAGCCAGAACGAAAGAGGATAATAATTTTCTAAATTAAGAAAGATCCTAAAGATAACGACGGATGATAAAAGAGAAGATGCTTGGTACTTTATGAGAAATTAATTTTTTCATTTGTATCTCGCGCCATTAAGTATACGTGGTAATTCTATGTGTGAGAGACCAATTTAAAAGCTAACCTAACAGACAAATATGATAGCAGTCATTTTTGTATCATATCTTTCTCTTATTATGACTCGACACTTGCCATATTGTACGGTCGGAGTGGTCTGCCATGAAATCAGATATAACAGACGAAAATATATAATATTATACGTGTAAATATAATGTTCTGGAAAACGTGCGTTTATCGGCATTCATTTCCCGTGAACGTAGCCAAAACGTCAAGATTAGCGTAAGGTACGAGGAGTGATAATTTCGTGGGCGAATCGGCAAGCCGCTCTCTGCCTTGCAAGCACTTTCGAGAATCCAGTACGATAAAGGCTCGGACCCCAAGAGCTCCATAGCCGTTAGCGCGTTATCGCGCATAAAAGTACAGGGAATTACGAAGTTTGAAGCATAAACCAGTCGACTCTATTAAAGTAGCGGTATCGGGGTTGCCTGGTGGTAAAAATCTACACTAATTCGCAAGGACGGCGCCAGGCAGTGAAGTACTTTTGGATTTACCTGTAGAATGGTAGTTAGAGGGTGAATTTCCATCGAGGAGGGAAAGAGCGTATCAAGGGTAGGAGTCTGCTGTTACGGTAAGCACAGAGGTACACAGGCCCCGGTAAGCGCAAAACGTAGAGCACGGAGCAGCACAGAAAGGGAGAAATAACTTTGGGCACGTGCGGAAGGGATGGAAGTTTGCCGGACCGAGTAGATAGCGCAGGAGAGCCGCTAATTTGTTGACACGATTACTTATGCAGGAGAGGAAGCGTGGCGAGGACTCGATGGCGACGCTCAGCGCCGACGGAAGCCTCTAGGTAAAAGCAGCCGCACTCCTGAGGAAGATAAATCCTTGTGAAAGCACGTCTTCGATATTTGGTAAATTCAAATGGTTATTTCTTGGTAAACTTTCGAGAATGATCCCTTACTTGCTGAGACGTCTATTCGAATGTTTCAGATCGTCCTTGAGTCGTGGGAGATAATCCTCCGGTTGAAGAGATTCCAAAGGCACGTTTAAATAGGCTCGATGGGTAGGTGATTGAAATTCTTAAATAAATTTTTGATATTCATTGTACTTTTTATTTCAGATACTACAACTCACTGGTGGAGTTGCTACGGGTTAATCTGACTGATAAAATATATATATGAGATATCGCCGTATTAGATTATTCTTGTCTTTTTCATCCCCTGGGTGGGTATGCATTAATAATAAATTTAGCCTGCGGGTTAAGTTATTAAACGGGCGATGATTAACGAGCTATGGCTATCTGATAGGACGACACTTAGTATTTCGGAATCAGTTAGCTCAGTACCTCAAACCCATTCATTCCCTTTTGGCTCCCCTCGTGGCGATGGTGATTATGATTTATGGTCGGTGGGCGCACCTCAAACAAAGTACATCAATTATGTGTCTGGTGTGTCGCGTTGTTACTACCCTGACAACAAAGGGTGGCGACGACCCTGTCTCAGTGCTGTGTATCGAGAATATTCTAACTATACTGTACGCCCGGTAATAAGTGCTACTACTACGGTACAGGGACGTTGAACGTCAAGAATTGGATACTACGCTGCTCAAGTTCGCTTTCGATTAATTATACGACTTGTAGGTTAGACACGTGTCAGAAATATTTAGAAAAACGTGGGAAAATGATCCTTCGTGACGATATCATTTTTTATCAAGACCCTTGACTTGCCATCATGTAATTAACAAAGGGATTTAATTTAATAGACAAATTAATATTTGCTTTGAGTCAATGCTAAAGTCCGTGCGTCTACTCACAGTGGCGTCTCTGTGAAGTTAATCGAACACGATAGATAATCGATATATCGAATATAACTTTCGATACCAGTAATCTCGACCCAGTCCAGTAAATTATAAATGTGAGTATGATTAATTAGACGTTCGAAGAATCTCGTACATTTTTTTCTCATTTCCTCGTGTTATCTCTCTGTAGCCCAGGTTCTCTCTGCGACCTTAACCGTAAGCACTTTTGTACATCGCTGACACCATGAATGGTAAAACAAAACTTTTCATTCGCAGAAGAGAGGAGCACTACTGCTAGCTGGAAGTATTTACGAGGTTTAACGACTCCCTCGACGTCCATTAAGATTACGAAATGACGGTGTCATCATTTTTTTCCCTCTCAGCCTTCCATCCTCTATCTAGTTCCTCCCTCTGTGCAAACTTGACGTCGTTTCCAACATGGCGTTCATTCAGATCAGACGATAATATCCAGCAAGAATTCTTACAGGGGTAAAGTATGAATTGACAAAATATGTATAACTCGCAGAAAAATGTACAGACATAATGATATGATTTTGTTAACATGAAAGTTTATCAGCGATATTATCTCTATTAGATTCTAACCTATAAAACGAAGACTGAATGCAATCCATTTGTAATGGCAGCTCGTTACAATGCGATCAGGTAGGACTAATCAATTTCATGGATACCTGGACCTGGGCCATGGAGCGATAGTCCAGTCATCACGCAAATCTCTTATAAGGATCGAAGAGCCATCAGTACCCTAGATATATAGATTCAAGAAGATGGAAAAGACGACAGTCGGTTGATGTCGTTTCTTCCGGTATAAAGTGACCTCTAACTTGGTACTAGAGGATGGTATGGGTGAGGTAGACCAGCGGGATATTGCTGGTCGTTTGTCTTTTCGTTTCCCAAGTCTGGGTGGATGTTCGCAATATCGGCTCTGCTAGTAGCTAGTATCTCGCTCACACTCTCCTTCCTCCCGGCTCTGATTGCACTGGGGCTTTCCAGAGTCCGGGCGGACATACCTCACGCGGAAGTCCAATTTTATTTTTCGACCTCTCAACGAGAACGAGATAAGTAAGTAAGAGCTGTGCGCACTAGGTATATACATAGTATAGGTGTAGCTGAGAAATTTCGTGGCATCCCGTGGCGGCACATACTGCTATCTACGGATATTGCTGCCGAAGTAGAATGCCCGATAAGAATCTCACTGAGGATAGAATAGCCCGGGTAGAGCATCCTGATTCCCGATTGTCCTGAAAGACTTTAAGATAGCATAAAGCCTTTTTGGCATTAATGTCAATTCTTAGAAACGAGCTTACAATGCCCTTGGTGAAATCCTATAGGAACTAAATGACCTAGTATATTCACCAAGAGCCCTAATAGCGTCAGGACACAATAGCTTTTTCAGCTGTTCTCATGTAAATCATTATTATTATGTATAAAATGAAAAAATAAAATTTTCTAAAATAAATTTGAACGTTGAGGCAGTGAATTATCAACGTGACGTAATGAATATCATTCCTCTTCGATTTTAGTTGCTTATTGGTATCGCTTCTCGGATACGCCTGGGTCACAGACTAGACACTGTACGCACCGCGAATGGTAATATACTAAGAGAGCGAGCGATACCTAATTCCAGACCGCCCACTGGCAACATTATCAGGGCTGCGCGGATAACGTTAATATACGGTCCAAGTTTTTAATATCCTTTACAACGGCAATAACGCTTTATTTAATACCCCATGAAAGTCCCAACTGCTTCGCTCGTTCGCTCGTTCGCGTTAAAGTGAATTGTTTCGCGCGCAGAGCATTACCGGGGCTTTAGATTCAAGCGTGCCCCGTAGAAGAGCTTCGTTGTAGCATGGCTGATCGTTACAAGACCGTCGCCCAGCTCGCGGAAAGGGATGTGCTCCGCAGCCCGTCTTCACACGGCCATTTGCATATTTACGACTCCGATCTTCATTCCCTGGCTACATTTCGTATACCAGAACTCCCACTGCCATTCTAGCCAGTCTCTACGGCTCCCATCCAGCCGTCCTCCGGACTCGATATTTGTCCTGGGAGACCAATAGTTACGAGCTCCTACACGGATCTTGGCAATGGCTACGTTCTACCGGAGATACAATCAATTTTGCTTGTCTTGCCGATCGCCAACAATATACTGGCAGTGCTTAACCTCAAAATCGAAGTGTTGTTCCACCTGGTGAATGAATATGCCTGCAGCTGTCTAACTGCGCCCTCTTGCTGGGACTATGGAGGATCCTTGATGAAGAGCCAGTGGGTGTTCTCCGAGGTGCTCTCTGGCTCCTGAAATAATTTGCAAGCAGTAAGCGGGTACGGGAGCAGCAAGCGGAAGACAATGACTTACGTTAATGCCGGACCCATAAAGAGTCGGTAACTACCCTGCAATGAGATACAGGGAACACGGGACCCGAGTGCGATATACGAGCCGTTTAAACGAATAAAGAAGAAGAAGACCTCGTTCAGGTACCCCCGTAGCGAAGCCACATCGTGTCACAACACCCTCGCCTCGCTGCATGCTCGCTACCAAATGAAATCATAATTCTCTCTTAGGGGGCGTTATTTAGCCAGCACGCACGTAATTACAGAGGAGAATGAAAAACCTGAAAGAATTTACGATCAGAGCATCTTGTAGTAGCAAATGCGCACTGCGAGCATTTGTTATTTATACGTACAGAAGAAACCTGACTTCTCGGACTACTATTTTGGTGTTGCATCCAGGATGCATTAAATGACAGAATGTCTTGGCTGCACCTACTTTTCTCTCTAAACACTACAAATTCCACCATCCTCTCTCTCTCTCTCTCTCTCTCTCTCTCTCTCTCTCTCTCTCTCTCTCTCCGACTTTAAACAGACTCCAGTACGCATCTCGTCTACTACTGCAGTTATAATAAGGCTACTTTCAAACTGTCTAAAGGGCAAAGACATCCAAAGGATCATCGTCCCTTTAGCATTAAATTATTCCTTTGGGATCGTTCTAAATTATTAGGTAGGACTACTGGCTAAAGTAGCAATTCAATGCGCACGACATATCATGGGCACGTGTGTATCTAGACAAAGGCAAACGTGTGGCGTCGCGTGATATTGCCACGTCGTCCGGACACGCTTCTCTTGTATTTTAGCTGGCAACCCGACTTAACGGACCTCGCGGAGCCGGCCCGTCAGACTGTCAACCGTAGTCGTTAATTTAGTCGTTATATAGCTGGCACGTAATGGACGCCATCCGAACGCCACGGTAAATCTGACGGTGAATTGCATTCATTACAACGTTAACGGTCTGCCTACGGGAGGTACGTTCGATTAAGAAAGTCAGTAATGGCCAGGCCACTTAACGCAACTACATCGGTTCACCAGGACGTGGTTTTCAGAACGCCGAGAAATTTGATCTTTTGATACAAAGAAAAGTAACGGCGGTACTGTATGCTATTCTATGGGATTCCTTTGTTCGCAGTGAGACTCTCTCACATTATACGCGCCGTGCACTTGCATTCTGCCAAAACGATTACTCTTCCGTTATCTCTTCGGCGCATCTGCCTTCTTAATAACGGATTAAAACGGGTTAAGAGGGATCGAAAAATCTTATTCCATCCTCGAGATCAAAGAAGAAACTCGTTTCGGGCATGCATCATCTCTCCTCATACGATACACTTTAATTTATGCTCATCCGCAATCGTTTCTCATCAAACGAGATCGATCCAGGTGATTGGTCGCTTTTATATCAGCTCATGAACCGGATACGGGAGATCTTGATCTAAACAAATGCATTACTTCGAAGTTGAATAATTTTTTTTATCCTTCGCTTTTTTAAGGATGTTTATATTTAAGTGACTACCTTTAATTTGACTGGTCTCTGTACGTCAATCATGACAGTTGTCAATCAGCTTGTTATACTATTAAATTCCCAAGCACGTAGCGTCATTGGACAGCTCTGTCGACGAGGACGTTCACCGGGTCGGCATCGCACTCCTGGATTGGCACATGCAGTTGAACCAGGCAGCTCCATCAGTTCACACAATGCAACTGCATTACAGGGGACTCTGGCATTTGCTGCTCAATTCTATGCAGCACAGTGCATTACAGCAGGGAGTACAGTAGAGTAGAGTGGAGTGGAGTGGCATGTTCGAGTGTTAAACAGAACCCTGGGGGGTTCGCGTGTCACCTCTATTCCCAGCATAATCCACGTGTTCACACCTTGCTTCCAAAATAGGACTACGACATAACGAATAACAATAATAAATGCGACTTCAATTTCACCACTGCGGAAGTTTTCATGAAAAGCATTCATTAAAAATAATAGTCTAATAATACCAGAGCGTGTGTTCATTTTCTAGAAAATGGCCGTGCTCTTCTATGGACCCTGGTTTGGATTCCAGCCGGTTGGCTTGACCACTGATAAGTACTTAAGAGGATCCCGTGAGGATGGAGCTTAACGTCCCTCAAAGGCATCCAGGCGCCGTTTACACGTGGTCTATTCTTCAGCGACGCAGCTTCGCGACGAAGGTCTTAACGGCTCAGTAGGTAATTTACCTTTACGACTCTCATCTTGCGGGAACCATTCACCGAATGGAGGACAGGATCAAATGGTACAGGAAGACGGTGCTCCAGGACACGACGAGACCGGAGAACAATGGGGTCCATTGGCATCTGTTCGGAAAATTAAAATAATTAATAACAATGATAATAATAGTTTTTTAAATTTAGTTCTAAGCATGCACAACGTAACCTTAAAGTTACAACACGTCTTCAGCTTCCTCTACCAAATCCTATGTAACGTATACAAGGATTTGAGTACACAGGATTCCGGTGGTAATACTCGTGCGACAGGATCCTCGTAAATTGCGGCGAATTAACGAGGAACATTAAAGGCGGTCGCCTGGCAAGTGCCGAAGTGGGTACTTATGAGACGGGAAGTAAACCAAGTGAAATAAGGGTTGAAAGGCTGGTGTGTTGTAATCGTATAAACACATTGCGGTGACTTTTACAATCGGTGTGGGCAAAAGGTGGCAAGCAGGCAATGGCGATGACGATGACGCTGGTGGGTGTAAACCTGCCAACACTGCCAATGGTGACAGTTGTTGGTAGTGAGCAACGAAAGTTGAATTTATATTTTTTTTTTCACTCCGGTGACATAAACTGGATGGTTTATCTGAGGGCCGTAACATAAAGTGAAGTTCCTTGTAGCTTCGCGTGGTAAAGCATTAGCCGGCAATAAGATACTTTTATTAGTAACTTTATGGAGAGTTAGATGATTATAAAACAAGTCGTAAACATATACGAGTGCGCCGCTCATCTTCTTTTCTCTATATACCTATAGCATGAAATATATGTATGTATACATATATATACATGAATATTTGTAAAGGATGCTCTTCGCTGCGTGAGGTCCTTTATGGCTTTCACGGCAGCCACGAAATCGTCAACGCCTTTTGTATTTAGTTGTCGCCATAGCAGAAGGTCTTATAAAATATGAAAAGCACTGTACATCCGTCAGTTTGTATTTGTCTTTGTTATCCGAGCCTACAGGGATAACTATTAGTTATAGTAGGTATTCTTGATCTAGTAATTTTCTTTTTTTTTTCTTCTAGACCGAATCAGAACATTATTGGCGCCAGTTTCAAATTTTAGTACTTAACGGTTAAAGCCCTTCTTGAAAGAAAGATATGGCGACGGGTGATGCAAGCCGGCTGGAACTCTGACATGCCGACATTTTCGCTTTGATCACATCTCAGAAACGTCACAAAGTTCCAGGCTGTAATTTCGCGATGAAACGAAGCGACCTAAGAGCCATGGTTGGTGTGCGTGTCGCGCGCCGGATGCGGCACGTAATAGGCAAAAAAAAAATAAAATGCAGTTGCCAAGCCCCATGGGGTGGTTGGTAAGCATGGAACTTCCGTACTCTGTGTATATAGCTATACATAATATAAACGTGCTGGTGAAGACCATATCCTATGTTAAATCAGTGACTCGTTAATAAGCCTGGTAATTCGCTTTGGCGGTTATGAATAAGGACTTAATGAAAGTACCTATATAGTATCATTGGTATACGGCAGTGTCTATCGGTGTCGCAGGAATACAACCTGACAGTAAAATAATTGATGACGGTTTACGATGATGCAGAAAAACGTGAAGTCTTGCGAGTTTCACGTCGTAGAAAGTGAAGGCTTTCCCAAAGAGGTCACGGATTGGTGTTCGCGTACGCACGCGTGGCTGCAATTGAAAAAAAGGCAATTAAAATTCAAAAGATCAAAATATGGTTAGCGATGAGATAAAATTTAGAAAAAATTATTTATCTTTGGCTTCCATTAACTTTACCATGTAGTCACTCATTATTTTTCTCTACTCTGTACGTAGGAGAGACCGAGACGTAGCAGCATTCAAAGTGGGTGCATTCTTCGTCAGGACGTAACTCACCATCCGGAATGATCGAACGAGTGACACAAAGTGGTTTAAGTCGCGTTCCTGCCAGACTGCTGTTTATTAGTCGGGCAAATGGGAGCGTGCAGAGAGTAAGAGTGCTGACGTTGATCCTCTTGGGTAGTGCAACATCACGCGCCAAGCGTTCTATTTTATCCGGAGGCCGTCGCGGGGCCACGTCTGAAGCTTCTATGGCGACGGGGAATGCAGGAGCTCTGGAAGAAAATTACAAACTGAATAGAAGGGAATCACTGATCGAATTTAAAATTGGATAGAAAGCATAGGCAGTTGAGCGAGGGACTTAGAATTTTGGATTTTTTAGTCAAAATCTTTCAAAAATTATTGAAGCACGTGATGGATGACGCGTATGAGGAAAATATTAAAAAATTTAAATCACTCATTTATTCTAGGTTATATAGAATTATCAATGTGGACCTTTCAAACACCAGAGGCTAGTGGCGATGAAGAAGCTCCGAAGGCTTCTCGTACAGGGTAGTCATAATGGCCTCACCGTCAGGGCTGGCGTTATTTTCATCGACATCCATCTTCGCGAGGTGCAGCCGCCGCTAGAGCCGAGCTTCCTGACAGAGACTGATGTTCCATGCTCGCGCACAGGCTACGATAGTGATATTGGTGGCGCACACAATCCACCAAGTTAGACATCAAGAGTATAGACGTCACCTGATTTATCACTCGGCGCTCAATCATGAAATGAGCCGCCATATTGCGCGTTCAGACAGTGCAGACTCACCCTGGTAATGCATGGGGATCTGTTCAAGTGCCCATATGACCATTAGTCACAGGGACGGGACCCAAATGAATTTACGACTATTATCTCATGCGCTACCATTTTTTGTTTAGGTCTCAAAACTTTCTACTTTGAGATCCTTCAGTCTTGCATATGATACTTTAAACGTTAATTCGATGAACAAACTATATTTTAACATTTCATCTGCTTTCACAATTTTCAATCCGTCAGTTTAACAAATTTTTTTTCCGATTTACAAAAGATGGAGAGTTCATTTAATCCTTTGGTGACCAAAAACCTTTTTTCTAGAGCCACAATGATGAATCGAATAGGCTACTCGTTAAGGTTGTATCACTATCCACGATTGATAGTGTCATGGTGTCAATGGAAAGACCGATAGAGGAAAGAGAGAGACAGAGAGAAACTAAGTCGTATACCCTAAAGGGAAGGATGAGTAATAGGACCGATGATAAGTCGATCTGTCAGACATGTAATTTATACCTAATTGTTAGACGTGACGTGGAATAAATGGGCATAGGGCAGCTGTCAGTCTGAGCACCTTTTGTTATGCTCCTCTCTATACCTTACTCTATTATACCATCAAAATGTATAAGTTATGGGAGACATCGGTAAGTGGGTGGTCAGTATATTATATATATGTACTATACGATATAACATCATCATTTAGGTCAAAGGTGAAATCGCAAGAGCTTGTATCAATTTTATGTTCAGCCTCATTGATTAGAGTAGTAACTATATATACGGCATCTATACCGTAAATATATTATATATCATATACTATACTTTCCAGTATAATATAAAATCAAATCTAAAGGTTATGCGTACGTGTTGACATATCCTGGTTCGTTTATTAATCAGAAAAATATCGTTGGTTTCAATCGAATTTAACGAGCGAAAAGTAATTACGGATTCCGGGGTATTTCCAGGAACGTGAAATATCCGTTTTCATTGAATACGAGAACGCGATGCTTTGTCAGTAGGTTGACAAATGCTTGTGGCTTATTGTATGATATATATCTATATTATATGTATATATATAATCCACTAGAATATCCTTTCTAAACCTGGCTTCTTTTTACGTCCGAATTCATCTGCCTCTCCCCACGAATTTTACGTCCTAGGGTCAAAGCCGCAATTGTACAGGACGAATGTCGCTGCATTGTAAATATCGACGAAGGCATTATAAATGAGGTTAACGTAATATATATATATTGACATCGTATAGGAGGTTATATATATGTATAGCAGTAGAAATAGCATAACCTCAATATGTGCTATGTAAAATCCAGTCATTTGTCACTGACAATTATTCAAATAATAACTTCGTTCGTTTGAAGGAAACAATTTAAAAATGAAAAATGGCACTTCTCCGAATTTGGTAATAATAGTTTTAAATAACCCGCGTCTATCAAGTTAGAAATAATATTGGATAGAGCATTAACACTTTCGTACTTGATGTGGCCCCATCAATTCAAGTCATATACGTCACCCGGAATAGATAAGTGATTGCTGCTCTTCTTTGTACGTATTATACCATCTGAATCCAGATATTTCAGCACCTGCGGTACTCCAGTCAATTAGGTTCACATTATTATAATGAAAGAAATGATAATTGATACGTGTATAATTGCTATTCAAATTATATCTCACAACTCGTATTTCATTAGTTAGAACCACGTGACATTTCTAATAAAATAATTATAGAATTGATTAAGACTAAAACGTATATAACATTCGGTCAGCGGATTGGATTATTATTTTTCTCCTCATCGCGCAATAGGTGGATTCTGAAAATAGGATTGAAATGATTTTTCGTGCAAATTTACGTAACCAGTATTTGGATTACATTTTATCGGACGAAATCTGTCTTATGGTGACCTCGTGGGATTTCTATTGGTTCTTGGACGCTTCATCAATAAACGTCACGTTTGCGTGACAGGTTCTGGTATCCTCCTAGGGACCCGGTATGCTGAATAATTACAGAGACGTAATTTTTCAAAATACCGTGACACGATTCCAATCGTTTGTTCAAATATAGGTTGACCTCTGTGGGTTTAGCTGCTTAGAAATTCTAAAAGAAAAATTTATTGAATTTATCATCCATCGATGCTCTCCTATCGATTGGTATATGAATCTTGACGAACCGTCGCGACGCCTCGTTTCATGGGTTATACCACGTCCCGACGCTTGAATGTGGACTGCGTTGTAGATTGATTGACAGACGGAAGAGAATAACGTCAATACGTCATATGAGCATCGCCGGACAAATTTATTTTGGAAAGGACGTCTGAATTGTTTGGAAATAATTATTATTGATTTTATCAATAATTCGTGACGATTTGATCGATTTTTCCTAAGGGTATAAAAAAAGATCATTACAATCGATACGTGATTTATTTCTGGTGTATATTGATTATTAGATTAATTTGACTTTTTCTTGGTTGATAGAGAAAGTCTGGATTTTTTAATACTTACGGTGACTAGGCGTTGTTCGATGAGCAAAATCTCAATCATAGGGGTTGATTCAGGAGGCGTTAACCATGTAAGGTTAGAGACGATTTTTCTACCTCTTGATATTCCATTATTATAAAAATTCAAAAGCACTTTTCTATCTTTTGATTATCCTCCTTCCCTCCTGTACTGCACCCTCTGACTGTGTCTCTCTCTCTCTCTCTGTACCTGCCAACCCTAGAATAGCTCGTTCTGCATTGAGCTCGGGGCGAGCAGGTGCTCGTCATTTCTGACAATGTGCAATTGACAGCTGCGGAATGAGAAACCGGTCGATCGATTGAAAATTATTAAAAATTGCCTGCGGCATGTTACGTCACATAAGCAAAAGGATACCATTGTGTCAATCGACAAGTTTATTCCGTCGTCACGTTTGAACTTTCAACCATTTTTTATATCCCAGACACAAATTCCATTCGGTATATTTGATTTGTTGTAAAAAAATTTGTTAATTACGTTTTTAAAAATTCTTTAAAAAAATTGCATGCGAAAAAGAAAACTAGTCAAATAGCGAAATGTAATATGCAAAATATACCTCACATTACGAATGGTCAGGAGACTCGAAGGGAATTAAAATTATTCGGAACGGACAACCACAGCGGGAGAGCAGACAGCCGCGGTACATCCTCGTTAGAGAAGCCGTCGGATCCAAGAGCGCGTTTCACATTTTTAACAGCGGATTTCTCTCCTGACAGCCGTCCGGCCACATTACCGTCTAAAAACAATATACGGGCCCCATGCTCGGGGATATCTCCCTTTCCTCGTCAACTGTCCTACGTGTCCACGTGTCCGCCTTTACGGAGTAGAGACTCATCGGAGATGACGCAGGCTGTTCCATTCCTGTCGTAAGTTCCACGTCCTGCCATTTTCAATATAAGTTACGTGTGTCTTTCAAAAAGTAGTAATACCGGTCCGCCATAGCACTGGGTAGCCATAACGCGTAACGACGTAAGTCATGTGTCCGGATTATAAACGTAAATTGAAATCGTACATTAAAATTGAACTTTATATATGTTTGAAAAATATCCTTCTTTTTTTAAATATTTTATATATAAAAATACATATAAAGAAACATGATGGTCATTCTCTTGACTATCGTATTCGTTATTCAGATCTCTTACTGACTAATTGCAAGTACGACGACGCTCGCGCCATCTACGTCGACATTGTTAACTGTCACGTAATTCCTAATAGCGTATGACTTACCCGCTACACAAGTATTAACCGGTAATAGTGTTACGTAAAAACGGATTAAGAGTTCGCGCGAGGGTCGGCCATGCGTGCTTTTCGTTTGTCGGCGCAGCCGAGGGAAGCCGTCACGTCGTGGTGCCGCAGGCCGACAAACGAGACGTGACGTCGACTGATATACAGATACATTCAGCGAGTGGTGCCGTAGATATATTGTAAAGGTTGCGTCGCGACGACTGCGTCGAGGTTGACGGTGAGGTTTTATGGGAACGTGGTAGTGACGTTCCGTGTTACTAGACCCTATATATATAACGACTTGGCGATGGGGCGAAGAGACATTATCCGCTCACGTCGTCGGCAACGTAAATAGAGAAAATGAGAAAACGTCTGTCGGAGTGAGTACGCCTCGCTTCTCCTCGACAAGCTGTCAGAGCATCGCGATGCCATACGTCCTCTGCCTACCACCTACTATCCTCGCGTCGCCAGACATCACCTAGTAGTTTATATAGGGATCTGCTGTACCGACTGCTACAATTTTAGCATGCGACAAATCTCTGCATATTTGTATCTATAATGTTGGCTCCTGCGAATGAATGGTACAAATAGAAATGAATTTGTTGAATTATTGGCATTACTGATATTGGAATATACAATAAAACGTGAATTGAAAATATTTGAATATGTTAGCGTTTTAGATTTTTTTTGTGACTGCAATGATGATCAGGTTCTACGAAGGGTATAAAGATGAAGTGGATATGTGATTTGATTTTATAAGACATGGAGGATGTTCGGTATGGATTGGTGGTCGAGTGAGTCTTTATCCAAGAAATCCAACGGGACAGTTCTTTGGATTATTTATGTCTAGCCGAAGTCGAAACCACCCCTGACACGTGGGAGAACGATGTGGACAAGAAAACGATCAGTTTATCCAGCGTCGAACACGTCGGACAGGGTGCAGCTGCTGTCCCGTCCCAACTTGATAGTTCTCGACCCTCAATACCGTAGCAGAATCTCATCCCCCTTTTGCACCGGGGCTGAACCGCATCCCCGTCCGCGAAATCCCCAGGGGGGTGCACGGATTGAATTAGCAGGGTTGCCGTGTTTGGGGTACGGGGGTGGATGGTTCTTCGTGGAGGAGTCAGAGGTGGCTCGTCCTGGTGGTGGCTAAGGGAGTCACCTCTAATCCCCGTGACCCGACAACACCGCCTGCCGCAGGGGTCGTGCCAGGGTTCTTCAGACTGCCACCAGGAGTGGCGGCAGCATTTGCTCGATAACTCGGGGTAAGTAGGACATCAATCACGAGCTGACACTAGCGCTAAGTAATGAGCGCACCACGACTTACGACATGACCGACCTGCACGCCAACCCCTTAATATCCACTGGCGTGGCTGAGCGTAAATCACTGCCTCCTGTTTTCTGCTGGCAGCCGAGAATCAAGATTCACTGGAGGCATCTGGATCATCAGACGATCGTATTAAAATATATTTGAAAAAAAAAGAAGTTATAAAGAATTTTCTAGGTTTTGTATCTTTCGGATTTTATTTTCCAACGTAAGAAAGTAATACTAGACCACCGTGAACTGACAAAGTCAACATCGCGGAACGACGTTAACGATAATAAGCAAGCCTATCTAAATCCATATTAATGCAATCGCACTGTCATCTCGACAGTACGGCATATGCATATCAAAGGGGCCTGTACATCATGGTAGACGGCCTCCGTAATCTCAGATGATTACGGTTATGAACTGTGGGGTTAGACGCACCCCCGACTGTACTAGGTAGGCACCGAACGAGGCAGCCTATCGTCAGATCATAAATGGCGCGAGGATAACTGCCAGGCGAGGCGGCGAATACAAGCGTTGGTGATTAACGCCAAGGCCTTCCCACCACAACTCGTTAAACGGAGGGGATGTATATTACGATATAATGGGGGTACAGGCTATATCAAAATTTTCGAAAACTTTTGGTATATGTATAAGGTATCTGAGGAGAGGTTACCGTAGGGATCATTAAGCTAAGGTAGTACCTAATGAACCAAAGAATTAAATTAGGTTAAGGGGTACACTCGGGCAATAAATATTTATATTATTTATTAATTAATCAATACTCATCCTGCAGCATGATAATAAATATCGATATTAACTTTTATCCTCGCGCTATTCAGAATATGAGACGTCAAGCTTATTCACGTAATTCGACACGGCTCTTAGGGGATAAAAACTAATATATTTACCCGCTGGCAGTGTGTCTCTTTGAAATAGGGTGTAACTTTGATGTGCATCATATATACAGTATCCAGCTAAGGTAGCGGGGTTATTAAGCACCGGGGTCACCGTTATCTCGACGACGTAGCCACCTAGGGGCCGATCTGACGCATTAACACCCCACGTATAAATACTCCGCTTTGCATCTGAATGTCCTATTTACCGTTTAAATAATATTTATGCTAATGGCCGAATAAAAATTCATTTAGTGGAACGGGGGATGCTGTTCCGCTCGCTCGAGTAATACCTACTAATTTGTGTCGTAAATGAAATCGTAAAGTCAGCTTCATCCGGAGCCTGACGGGGGGTATGAATGCGCACGCGCCATCTATGCGGACGAGAGGTGAAACAGAAATTTACAGTCGGCACATAGGAAAGCAAATAAAAACGACGTCTACGGATTACGATACAATGGAGTCTACAGCAGTGAATTATGTGCATCCTTACCAGCAAGACTTTTCGCACCTTGAGTGCGCGTCATCTCTTGGGAAATTCACGATGCATCTTCCTGCAATAAAATGCATAATCCACTCCACGGACCCATGGCGTATACACGGTGTAAATATTCCCTGTGAGAGTTTTATTCCATCGTTTCTCCGTACTGTTTTACCATATGTTTGTCCTTAGTTTTTTGACATCTATTGTTATACATTTCTATCTTAAAACTTACGTAACATTCACAAAAGGCTGGCCGGGCTATGAAGTTTTGTGTTGAGTCCACGTCGTACGGATAAAGGGCACAGCTTGTAACCAGAGTGTCATACACGGATCGCGTGTGACACAGGGTATGATTGACGAGCGTCATTTCCTGCGGCACGAAACGACGGCGGCGACGGTCGTGCAGTGCGCACCTACCGTACACATAGTAAAGCTAGAGACTGGTAGGTGGAAGCCATAAACGTAAACACGCCGTTGGAGCCCACGTTGGACCCCCTCTCTGTGGCCCCATAAATCATACGGCACTGTTGTAGCTAGCGCATTGCTCTCTCCTAGGTTTATTGCACATTAAAGGGTTCGCGGGATTACGTGTCTGGTGTAGAGTGACACGTACGAATCTAGATTTACATCTTTTAATCGTACGAGAGTGGACGGTGAAAAAATGGCGGCTTTTGCGAAAACACTGGTGGAGAAAAAAGAGTGAGTAACGATACCACTTACAGGAGTTTCTATGACAGATATTTTTTTTATTACCAAACCTCTGGTGGGATAACAGAAAATTTTATATCTAGGGAATTTTTATGAGATTTTTACACCTAGGGTACTTGGAATGCCTCTGGTAACTATGTTTATATCAACATTCCTAGGAACTGTCTACACTTGCGTATTATCACTAGGTTGACAGTTATTTACTTTCTAGGGATATAACAGCTCTGACACATAAGCTTAAGCTTTTTAAGTCTAGTTTTCACCGAAGCGAGTGTACTGCCACACCGTGACTGGTGGCATAATGAAATTTTAATATATACCCTGTATAAAGTTACGCGAGGTACTGAAGATTTGTATCTTCATCTAGTAAGAACTTGCTGTTCCGTTAAATACGATTGCACGCAGTTGGCTTGTGAGTAACGTTTTACATTTTTACTCTTACTCTTATATCCCTCTCTCTCTCTCTCTCTTTCTCCCTCCATGTTGCCTTCTCCTTGTAGAACATCGCGTGTTGATCGCTCCTCGTCATCTGTATAAGATTATCACGTCGAGTTCTCTCTATTATTTCCAGCAACACGAAGTATTCGCATAATGAATCGCTACGAGCAGAAAGTCAGCGATTCTCGCATCGCTTACCAGCTACGAGCCGGCGATGAGATCTGCCATGTCGGGAACACTTGAAGCAGAAGGATTTATCGCAGGACGTCATCGTAAAATCATAACGACCAGTCGTCGTGAAAGTTTCATGTGCAGGAAGCCCATACGAGTGTAACGTAATATATGACAGGAAGGTGACGCATACGTTATTATTATAATACACTTTACTTATAGTCTACCTATACATATATACTTCTTTTGACTTTCTCGTTAAATTCTCTATACAGACATCAGCTGCGCTTTTGGCTAATGTCCCAAAACCTGGTGATAATTGCCGGACGGAGTATATCGCTCGGCCGTTTATCAGGAAGGAGGTCCGACATCAACAAGGCGCCAAATGACGTCAGCTGAGTGACAGACGCGTGATGCCGTCGCCGTGATAATGACATTTGCCACGTTAGACAGGGGGGTAATGAGCTACCCGGTGACGGGGATGAGACAAGCTCGACAAGTGACCTCCTTGGCACCCCTCAGTCTCTTAGTCAAGATTGTTCCACGGGTTACCAACCCTCTGGCTTCCCCTTCCGTCCATCTGTCATTAGACGTCATTTATTTGTCGTTAGAGTTCACTTGGGTCGTACTCTTTTTTTTCTTTTTATTTATTTTTTTTCTTCCTCGAAGAACGAACTTCACTGCGAATGTTTCTCAAATTCAATTTTCAGGAGGATATTCCAGACGTCGGAATCTTCTTTTGGAGATGGTCCAAAGCTTTTGAACAATATTGAGATGTGTATATGTCTCTTGGTGAATCAAGGATTATGCTACAGCGGATGCTGTGACATTGAAAAATTTTATATTTCATCACTGCGAGGCGGCCTGATATTGATATCGTTGATACACGACTACCCTTATCTTGTGCGGGGTGACTCGTGCGAGGGTGGGCACGTGTGTTGCCGGAGGGAGGGGCAAAGAAAGGAGAGTGAACAGACGTAAAGAAGGGACAAAGAGACGTGGTTACTGTAAGGGAGATCGAGAGAGAGAATGATACAGGGAGAAAAGCACGGAACCGGGTATAATACCGTAGCTGTGTTTTATGGTCTCCCCCGTTTCCTATTTCGACACAAATGCGTTATTATGCGAAGTTTTATGCATGGAATATGTTGCGCATGCTGAGCTTCCGATATATCATTTAAATAAAGCCCTGCCGCCTGAACGAAGCAAAGTATTGGATAGTTCAAAATGACAATTGCACAAAACTTGTCTTAACTACAAGTACGATGCTTAGACCATATTGAAAAGTGGTTTTAGGCGGGAGCTTTCGAAATTCACTAACATAGTAATAGTGCCCAAAAACGTCATTTCTCATGTATCACTAGAAAACAGTGGCTGTATTCGACAGTCAGTCGAATACGAAGCAGAAGTGTATCAATATTAAACCAGAATCGTATTAGCCAATAGAGCGCTGTTATGCTTTTGGCGCGAAATTCAAATTTAATTCTTCGAGAATGTAACTTTCGCGTTAGCCAACGATACACAATGTATCGTGAGATATAAATATTCGAGGATAACAACAATAGTGATAACTCTACCTTCGGGAAGACTTGGCAATAACACGTTTATCGCTCTGGCATAGCAGAGAAATCAGAATAGTCCTGAGATTTACGAGGGGTTGTAAAAGTTAACCCTTCTCGCGCGGTTATCTCGCGAGTCCCTCCATCCCATTTCTATCGAGAGAAAAGATTTAGAGACAGTCGGCTACCCTGTCACGAACCTTACGACACGAGAGAAATATCTCTACTTACGGAACACCCTATATGGAGTGTATGTCGATCAGAAGTGTCGATCAATCAGAATACAAATTCGCGCGCGTAAAAATCGTACGATATTGCTTCTCCCAGGATTCAAGAATCTATCTGGTTGGATATATATGTGCATACATATATGTATATATATATTAGCCACGTGTATTGGGCGTCGCGACTCCCAACTACCTACTACACGCAGTATATACTTATACAGTATATATATATATATTTGCCTGCGTTTTCTTCCTTCACGCGTCTTCCTCTCTCTCAGTCACGAAACGCCGGATACTTCGCGACGCACGGAAATGTTTTACGAGGGACCATAAAACAATCCCATTTATGGACGTCATATTTTATCGTTGATAACCGGTGGGAGATTTAAAATAGACGGCCCCGCTGTGTCTGCCTCGCGGCGATTTATGAGTTCGGATATTACAGATATATACGGATCTTAATTAAAAAAAAAAAAGGGGGTACATAAGGCCATCGCAAATGTAACACAATGAATAGCAATGAACAAAAGGTGTCAGGAACGTCATTATATTCGTACAAGATCTGGGGAAAGCAATTCGTCGGATGACGATTTGCAAATTATTGTAATTTATGCAATTTATTTAAAGTCAATCGACAGTTACGTGATAATCGTCTGGAACAGTGATGATTAGTAATTTTATTGATTGCGCATTGTATATATAAGTATACAATCACCATAAGACCGTACAGACTTCAAGCCGTCTTTGGCGTCATCCTCGTATTTTTTCATTCAGAACTGCCATTAATTCCCTAAGATGGCGAGCTGCGATTAACGGGAGAACAGCTGCAGCCTTCAACGTGGGATCGCACACGCGATCCTTCCTTCTTGGAAGGAAAAGGCGAGACCCCTCTTGCTAACTTTTTAGAAGACGATATAGGCACACGCACTCGCACGTGGTCGCATGTGTACTCACGTACGTCGTAATGCAGGAATCATCGTCTGAACTCGTCAGACTCCTTGGGCCCGTCCATCCACGCCAATGATTTCTCACTGCACTCTGTGAACTGTGAAGCTGAAATCTTTTTAGGGTTAAATGACTCTGACCCCTGTGACACGTGATTGAGAAGATTGAATGTAGGATTAATCGTACAGTGTATATAGATATAATTGAAAACATGTAATTGATAAGAGAACATAAAATCAGATGCGTCCATCATTATAGATATTTTCCATAACATTTTCTCCACGCATGTACAACCTTAAGAAATTATTTGCAATAATGTCATCGAATAGAACAGGATTGATCGTATCTAAATTAGTGACTTTGGTAAAAAAAATGTTCATGTAAAAATATTAATTTTCATTTAGTATGAAAATAATTACATATATACACATTATATACGTATATACACATCTGGTACAGATGACTGTTCGCATGGCGCGTAGGATTCACCTTCCCAAATTGTGTCCTATAAATCCGGCGTCGTTTCAGGAAATTCAGTCCAAACCGGAAATTAAATGGGTATTATCGAGTTGACAGTTTCCAAAGTTCCGTATGAGTTATTGCGAAAATCGGAAATTACGTATTACATCGTGCGAGAACATTAGTACGTATAGCCCGTACCTTGTGGCATATAAAAAAAAAGCAGTACGTACCACCCTATAGAGAGTAAATTTACCATTGACTTACAGGTAATCCCAACGATGAAAATGTCCATTACAGCAAGTGTTAATTTCCTTCGAGTCCCTTATGTATTTCACGCCTAGGTACCGACGGTGGCGGATCAAAGAAGTGCCTGCCGGGTAACGCTGTCGGTAAAGCAGGAATGCTTTTAATTGCAACGCAGCAATCTACACGTACGTACGGTATTAATTAAAGTAACATTGTTTCGCGTTTAATTGCATCAATTGTACAGTAGGCTTAGTAGCGGCAACGATGAGTGACGAGTACCCCTTTATGGTAGTCAACGCCATAGCGTTCAGTCAACCTAACGTGACGTCCTGCTTCTGTTTTCCTTTATGACGTGTATATATATATATATATATATATATTGGCGGCATTCTTATCATCTCTCAGAGCGTTTCACGCGTGCAAAAGTCCCTGCTTCTGTTTTCCTTTATGACGTGTAGAGTACCCCTTTATGGTAGTCAACGCCATAGCGTTCAGTCAACCTAACGTGACGTCCTGCTTCTGTTTTCCTTTATGACGTGTATATATATATATATATATATATATTGGCGGCATTCTTATCATCTCTCAGAGCGTTTCACGCGTGCAAAAGTCCACGCACGTTCACTCAACTTCCCGTACGAGTCAGCTCACGTTTATACATAGGGACACGCACTACAGGCATAGCTCTGAGCCAGCGACACGACACATTCTCTTCTGGCTGCTTGCAAAAAGCTGCCGTCACAGCTTTGCTGCCTCACCGTGCACGTAATAAAGTCATGAATTACGTATCTTGCGTGCCCGTCTCTGGCACGCATAGAGATACAGCTATAGAATGCACGTATCACGTACACAGAGTACTACCAACTCACCGACAGTAATTAGCGCTTGTTTGATCAGGTCGCACGAACGTGCGTGCACCAGGACGTATGAGATACCCTCTCTCGTAGGAAAGCTTTTGTTTCTGGAAAAAAAGAAGTCTGGTATCAGAGTACTAATACGGTTGTGACAGCGATAGTAAAGGTTCGACCACGTCCCTGAAGTTGATTTAGGATATACCTGAGTGCTGGACAATAGTTGCGTATGCCGGAGTCAGGAATGACAGGGTTAAAGGTCCCTGACCTCTTCTGGGTGGATCGTGTAGGTGGACCAGTCAGAGATGCTGGATGTGAATGTGATAAAATTAGAAGAAAAAATTTTAATTAACAGAAATTAAGTCAGAGGTCGTTAGTTGATTTTAGGACAGACTGTAGTAGGATTGGGTAATGGTTAGGATTTTATAGAGTCGCGGTCCAGGATTTGGATGATGTTTGAAGTAGACGACGTGCTATCAATAGCAACACATACCTGGGATAAATGGAATGGAACTTTTTGTCCTTGGCTGGACCTCGTACTAGTGGATGATGATTTTGGGACAGTACCCGATGTTCGGTATTCTTTTGTTTTATAGTACCTGAAGAAGAGTATTCGGTTAGAGAGATTTGAGAGAGGGGCGGAGAGGGTTATAGGGAACGTAGAATCGACTGGTGGATTTCACAGAAGCGGTTGGGACTCTTGGACGATCGTGCTGCCGCCTTGTGGAGGACTAGTCGCACCAGGACTATAACTCACGCCAGTGCTCAGGAATGCCGCCGTTTCGGTATTTATGCGACGGAGTTATGGTAATATTGAGAAAGAAACAAACAACGGAATGCCCGACAACCGGCACACGGTTGTCCAGCCGAGACCTCCCGGCTATGCGATACTTTGCTCCTGGCATCGCCAACTCCCAGAACGGGAGCCACCCTGAGCTCACGACTTCCACCACGAATTTATTGAAACGTCGCGCGATCTTCGCCGTATTCGTGTCGTCTCTGGTGGAAACGAATATCCATAGTCTACTGTTACTGCTATAGCATTTAGGTTAGGTTGGTACTGGATGAGGGTGTCACTGAAGGATCCTGAAATTTTTATTTTCATTACGGTCATAACTCCATAGTAAAAAATTATTGCTTAGCTTTTAATTAATATATTTATACAAAATACGACTTTTAATAAGAAAAAATTGTATATGCATCAAGGGAAACTGTGTACCAACCTTCGTTAGTCTGAATGGATTAACGTTCAATCGGCCAAGTGACTTTGATTTGAACCCACTCTCACGTCTGCCTGCACGTGTGTCCCCTATGCATCTCCCTTACCCTGGCGAGTTTGTCGCGCAATCATTTATTCCCCAGCAGGCATTTTAATTACGCTGATTTATGACGGCTTGTAGCAGCAGCAGCAGTAACAACGGCATATACACGATACAGTCATCAGTGCGGATACGCGATGGCGTGCTGCTGTTATTTCTTTCTCTCTCTTTCTCTCTCTGTCATTTCTCTTATTTTTACTCTTTCTCTTTCTCACTCTTTGCACGACCCTTCGTGTACTGCACTACAGAGAACTGTTGAACACTGTATACATATAGAGGGGCAGTATAAAGCCATAGTAGATGTACGTAACGTTCAAGCGACCGATCGGCTAGTCTCCCGTCAGAGAACAGTGGTGCCCTCTCTCGCCTGGAGGCTTCGGTGTTTTATAGTTTAATCGTAAATCACAATCGTTAATTTCACTGAACGTCAGATGGCGTCGTACGAGGAATCATGATGCACGTCGTGCGATTAATCTTGCCGGAAAAAGCTGCTATCCGAAAGTTTATGGCCGCTCCCGTATCGGACGTTTCGGCGGAATAACAAGGAACGATAACGAAGCCATGTCTACGATAAAATAAAAATGTCTAGTGCAAAAACTATTTACCAAGTGAGTCTAAATAGTAGTAGAAATAAAATCAAGGCCAGTGATAAAATGATAAATTTCCAAAATTTTGATACAATAAAAATTAGTCTATAATCAATAATCATAAAAAATGTTGATGAGCAATAAATTTGTTTTTAATAAAAAATATTTATACGCAGACTTACCTTTGGTCCAGAGCACTTCTGGAAAAAGATATCGGGTCAAGTCAGTATCCGTTTTATTCCGTAGCGATGAAGTGAAGTGAAGTGACGGAGTCCGAGATGTCAGCAGCGTAAGAGCGTCGCGACGCAAGAGACAAGGAGCACGCAAGCCGTCACGCTCGCCCTCTTAATTACCAAATAAGCGTACATGGAGATGCGAGTCAGCAGTACGACGTGTAAGTTAAGGCAGTAACACACTGCGCGATCCGCACAGTCCAGCTCAGCCCAACGAACAGGTAATTGCAGTTTTTACCCGAGCTTGTCTCCCCATGTTGATTGATGGACGGTCGGCCATCTTGAGTGCGTCGCGTAAGGATAAACAACTTCCTTTGTCGGAGAAGAGCAAGCCGGAGCCGCCTTTGAGTGCTCGGCTGCGCGAATCGCGCAATGAATTAGCAGCTTGATCGGCCCGTATATACACAGGGTTTGCTTACCTAAAGACTCTACTTCACTCTGCTCTTCTGTTTGACTTATCCATCTCGATTTTACTTTGTCCTGCCGATCCCACTGAGTTTCGACAATTCTACTATACATACACACTCCCTTGTCTTATTCGAATACTTCCTCCATTCAACTTACGTGCCCGTCGTAACTCCAGAGTCCATCCTTTCCGCTGTTCTGTTACTTCGCAAAAGACTCAGGTAGACGCATTTGGAATGTACCTTGCGAGACAGTGTTACGTAGAGGGACATTCAAGTTATTCAAATCAACCGCCAAAAAGTCAAGAGGCATCCCGTGCCATTTGCAGACCACAACTCTGAACGATTGACTGTGGTTTTTCATGCTAGCCGCCATCTTGCATGCCATTAAATTAAATCCGTATATATCTATATATGTACTTAAATTGCACCACAGATACGTCCCGATATCTTACAATATTTTACAACAATTTTTTGTTACTTTTCCAAAAATAACCGATTCAATATACGTACCACGTATTACAGTGTTTATGAATTATGTCAGACCGTTAGACACGTGTTATTTATAAAAGAAGACTGACACGGCGGTTTTCATTAGTACAGTATAACCGTGCAATCCAGAGGAGTATATTAGGACATAAATTCCTTGCAGCAGCACCCCGGTATAACCGGGTCGGTATGATCTGCGTATTTTAAAGTTATCGCGCGCCATAAAGGCGAGAGTTTATTTTCTATGTGGCAATTTGGCGCCGCGGCTGCTAAACCGTAATCCTGGGGAAGAAGGACGAAAAGCATAGAAGTAACACACAGAGCCGCCTAGCGGCTCGCGTAGGAACTTACCAAGCTGTGCTGGAATGTTTTCAAGCTGTTGGCAGGATTTGTGGCGTATTCCATGCTGCTCTTTCAAGAGTAGCAGAGGAACGTTCTTCAGTTGTTTTTTTTTAAAGCGATACATCAACCTATATACCTATATACAGTCGTTAACTATCAAAAGGAAAAGAAAAGTTAACTCTAATTACGTCTTACTGACTAGCTCCAGATCCATCGACGTTAACGGCACCCGCAGGAGATGAATTAAAGCAGGCATACCACATTAACCGTCGGCGAGTAAACTCTTCCTTTTTCATTTTCACCCTTTTGCGGTTTTAAACCCGTCATTCGCGGCTTGTACGGGTACGGAAAGGTCTGCGTCTATATAGATATACCAAGCCTATAGATATTCCAGGTAGCACGAAGGAGAGGAGGCAGGCAATGAGTCGTAACTCAAGCCACCCTTTTATACGTATGTTGGCATGGGTGTAGGTTAGGTTAGTAGGTATCTGACTACCTGCGCGAGTCTACGTATAGATACGCAGGTACACACTTCGTTTCATCCATCGTAAAGCTGGAAGCCGTATTGGCTGTCAAGTTAGCCGCGCCGCAAATGTATTTTATTACGACGCGGACGGGAGTCTCCATGTTTTACGCCATTCCCTCTTACGGGCTGACAGCTGACACTCCAATATTATTATTCACTGCCGACTAGCCAACCGACCAGTTATCGTCCTCGTGACGCCCGCCGGCCTCACCGCTTTTTAACCCAGTCAACTTATATTTATATGGACTACAGCCAATCGATTATTATATTAATCGAACCGATCCCCCGCTGATAAGCGAATTTCTATATCGTTCTCACTACAACATCACCCGTATTTATTTCTCTGATCGAACGCTAAAGCCCAGTGGCATCACGGACAGAAAGAAAATAATAAAAAGTTACAGCTACTTTTCATGAATATTTAAACGCGTCACACTATTTACCTTATGGATTCGCCATGCTTAGTATGAAATCAACGAAACATCACGATGTACAGTTATATACATATATAGAAACTCCATACAATAAATCCTAGTATTGTCTATACGCGTTCAGTATAATTTTCATTCCCACAGTCCATTCCGTAACGGAATCCCACTAGCAGACGATCGTTGCTTTGAAATTTCTATAAATTGTACATGATACTTACAGACATGTATATATATATATATAACAGTCCAAGTCTGCATTCAGTACCGTATGCAAAGGCGACACGTATAAAGGCTTGTAAGCTTAACGCTCCGAGTAGATTCTGTGTCGAGTAGAGAACGTGTGTTTATCATGATCCCACATCAGATCGGCACACGGCTGGATGAACGGACTAGAGGTACCAACTAACTAGTGTTCTATATCACATTCGGCATCGAGTTAATCAGCGTACGATCCATGGATCCGATGGTGAAAGCCCGTTAGTGCTAGCAGCGGTACGAATATAATTCTGCCTTCGACTGTACCAATCGGGTGTACGTTGTAAATATAGTAATAGTGGTGTATTATATGTATATATATATATATGTATACACGGGCATGGTCGTTTCTACATTTTGTACTCTTATTGTTTTCTCTGTTATGTTCTGTTATGTTCTGTCCACTGGATACAGACGCCTCGAAGCTATTCCCAACGGCCTGGCCTTCTCTCGCCGTCTCCTCTGTTCCCTGTCTCACAATTAATTAACCTGTCAGTCCGTATGTCATTACGTTACGTTAGTTTTACCCTGCCAGCCTAATTAGATCCGAAGCCAATGATAATAATGCCGTTTTAATTTGGCCGTGTACACCGTGTAAAGTTCGATCGATATTATATATTGTATGGAGATTTATTTACGGTGGGAGACTCATGTCCTAATTAACCATCTGAGATTATCAGGAGCGTCGCGACGGCTGCTAACAATTCGAAAAGGATATTCTGGATGACAATTTTTTTTTGTAATTATTTCTTTGGATCTTAAATTTTTTGATATTACTCATTAGAGTGTTTGTCGTTGACTTAAAATTTTGTGTAATTAATGCTAATTTATTGCTTTATTATTTTTCATGTATTTTATTACGCTTTAGTGGGTACGTTTATTATTTTATAGGTTAGGTATACGCTGTCACGTTTAAATTGAATGGATTTAAATGTTTATTTCATTCTTTATGCACGCATTGCGTCATAAAACTGGAAGAGCCGCTTTAATTATGATTTTATTAGACATCCTTGTCGAATTAATTTATATGCCGTTCTTACGACGCTTAATAGAATTTTCGTTGGAGCAGCTTGGCCGCGATAAAATTATATATTCAAAAAGTCGTATCTTCGTCAGCCTTTGACTGTTAGCTGTTGAAAAATTGGGTCGGGTCGATCGTTTTATGAGGGCTGTAAAATTTAACTGGTGTCTCAATTGAATAACAGTATACGTCATATATGTATATATTCGCATAATAAACATCCCCCAATCGTCCCTCGACTTCCGTCCTCATTTTACAGTTTCACGGAAACTAAAAGATCGCTGCGACTTAGCACCCATAAACTTACCATTGGGAAATTACTTTCCCGATACTGCCGGCTCTCCTTAATGGGCTCCAGTCGACGACTGACGATTATTATTCATACACGCGAAATTACCGAATGCGTCGTCTATAAACGCGCCATAATGATTCGTACACCGGAGACATAATTAAGGTTAACACGAACGTGCCAATCGCCGCTGGCATGCGAATTAATAAATATTACCGACTGAGAGCGTAGCCAAGTTTTTCTCGTGTTTTCGTACCCTAGCGTCAATCCGAGGTACTAACGTAAGGCTAGGCGGGAAATTCGAATGATGAACTTGGACGATTCTAATTTTCAATTCACCGAATGATCAATTAAAATCTTAGATCAGCCGATCCAGTCTTCCGGAACAACGAACACCAGTATTTTAGTACCTACCAAAAATAAGGAAACTTCAATATCGGAACTTCCCAGCCTCGATGATGCCGACTGGAACACATTTGCGAGACGTCGGCAATAAGCTGAAATTAGACGCGGCATCCATCCGGAAGCCATGAATCTCAATAAGAATTTTGGCCGCGAAAGCCTCAGAACTAAAATTCCAAGATATTTCAAATCCCCCGAGGGATTATAAGAGAATTTTTTATATAAAGCCGAAACGTCGATTCCGTTCCACGAAATTATGATCTCGACACACTCACCGTTCACAACGGGGATTACGTATACAAGTCCCAAGAGTCGAGTTTACGTCAGTCCCCAGAATTGCAGCAGTGTGTTCCAGAATTGTCACTGTCAAAGTTAAAAATAATTATCTCGTAAGTCGTGGTCGTAAATCAATCTTTATGGGGGCGTATATGCTATACGTTTATATACGTATCTCCTACGTAAATATATATATATATATATATAGTTAGGTACCAACTATTGAGCATCACAAGTTAGGCAATCGGTTAATACGTTTATATACGTATCTCCTACGTAAATTGTGTTCCAGAATTGTCACTGTCAAAGTTAAAAATAATTATCTCGTAAGTCGTGGTCGTAAATCAATCTTTATGGGGGCGTATATGCTATACGTTTATATACGTATCTCCTACGTAAATATATATATATATATATATATAGTTAGGTACCAACTATTGAGCATCACAAGTTAGGCAATCGGTTAAGGCATGTCGTGTTGAAGCTACTTTATTACAGGCACCAAGATCGTATATTACCGTATATCTCGGTATAATGCCTCGATTGTAAAATTAAAATATATTTCGAGTATATGCTAATGACAGTAAACCCGTAGGGTCATAAATTTCTATCTGGTAGCTCCTGACCGTGATATAAAAGTTACAGTCTAAACGAAAGGACCGCGTTAATCTTCCTCCTTTTCCATCAAGCCACCTCTATATCTATATATTACACGTATACGAAAGAATATCCTTGCCCCTTCATTACCCATTTCAATATACGACTCGCGATTGATACTTAACGTTATCGACGGCTATATACCAGTATATACCATTAAAAAAATAACAAAGCACTATATATCAGGACCTTAGAGTGCCTTTCTATCGGCATGGCGCCAAGAAGCTGTCCCCATACCGACGACTAGTTTTGATAGCCTCCGTGCTACGCGTTACGACACCTTTTAAATGTCTTCTCGTATTATTTATCGCCAGACGGCCCCGTTATTTGTTTTCTACAGAAAATGTTTGTCCTCGCGACACATTTCTTTCGCCCGCAAAAATTCGTGACTCCGTCGCTCCTTGGGCTCTCGTGGCAGATTTTAGCGATCTGACAAATTTGCTTCTCGTCTCCTTTGGCTTTTCGACAGCGAGACCAATTCCGCAAGGCATTTATTTTCTTGCGGTATTCCTTTGTATTTTGTCTTTTAGAATATAACAAAGGTATACTCTGTACGCTATATATCGAGACTATATATATATATGTATACGAAGGTTGTGTTAATTATAAATAATAATTATAATTATCAAGATGGCGGCTCCATATAACGTTCAAAAGACGTATAAACGTGACAGTAATTTCGTATGAAAGAAGTATCGCCCTAGAAGTGAGATACAGGTGAACGACGCTTTATAGCGTGGAAGCTCTGCTATAATTAATGTTAATAGCCGTAATGGCAAATGTTAATGGCAAGTGCCGACTGACTAATCTTAATTTATGTGACACTAAAACCACTTCCATATATTCCCAACTTAATGTGCACGATAAGATCGCCAGATTAAGATATTATATGGCTGCGCCGACACAAACTGGTTGTTGCTTGGAATGTATCCCGGAGGTGTGTAACTGTAGATACTAACTGCTAAATGTTTAATTAATTTCACTTATTTACACTGTACAGGCCAGCGTCCGAACGAGCCAGATTAATAATGCGCGTGAGAGCGATTAATTTTTATGTCGTGGCGTAATTAGAGTGCTGATCTTAGGCTCTGCTACCGTCGTGATTAACAGCTCGATCATCTGTAACATCGATATGCATACCTGAGAATTTCCATTATTTCAACGTAAAACTCGAATAATTACACTGCCGTATATACTAATTAGTGTACCAGGTTGTACCAACCTGTGATACTTGTTGGTGCATTAGTTATCCGTGGAAGCTGAATTAGTAATGCAGCTGGTAACAAACTGTAATATCACAGTTACATGTATTAGAATATATTAGAAAAATGATAAATAAAGCTTTAAATGAATATTCAACGTGAACCATAAAATATACCTATTACAAGATTTTTAAATTAACATCGTACCGAGACTGTGTCAGAGCTCTTAATAATAAAGACTGGCATTGGTGAATTGGCCAGTTTCAGCCGCCATGGCCGTGTCGGTAGGTACAGCCTGTTTATGATCAGGTCCATTAAATCTAATTTATTATATTCCCCGATAGGCAGTAAAGATAATAGTCCTATCGGGCAGATTAATTGCATTACTTACTTACGGTGCCCTCTCGAAGTGGCCACCATGTTTTATTTTTTTCTTCTCCTTCTCCTTTCTCTCTCCCTCTCTCTCTCTCTCTCTCTCTCTCTCTATCTACCCCCCTCTCTCTCTCTCTCCCCTCCCTCTTACTCTCTGCAGGCCATCAAACTTTTTTACATCCGCAGCCTCTTATCTCTTAATGCAGCTTTCATATCTCCCTGGACCACTGATCTTGTCTGTCTTCCTTTCACGGTGCAGAGTCACATGGTCGAGTACTTGTAAAACCAGAGAAAACCTGGTAAACCATTACCGTTACAATTTCCTCTGAAAGATAACCTCCTTACTATGTTAAACCAATAAACGGGCTCGGTAATCGTGCGAGAAGTGTTCCGAGTTCTGTATGAATGGTTTGCAACATTCTTACCGCCAACGCAGTCGGTCCGAGATACTACGTACGTTATGTAGGCTGTTTGAATTATGGTGCTAACTTATATTACGTATAAAGCGCTGAGATTCCGTTCGCACTATAATTTACGGCAATTTCTGTCGGTGCGCTTTAATGATATGGAAGCCCACTGACCTTTTGCACGGTACTTGCTGATTTTATGTTTTTCATGCTGTCCGCTTGGAAATAATTTTTTTTCTTTTGTTTCTCTTTATGCTCCATCATGCTCGGTGCTTGCGATACGTGGTGTTTCAGGGACGTTATCTCTGTCGACATTATAAATTGGCAGCTGTGGCTGCTATAGCGTTGCATCATGGAGACAGGAGGTGTCAATTCTGAAAATTATGGACTCGCGTAAGATTTTAAACAAGTGTTATTCTTTCTTAATGGATTTTTTATTTTATCGTACCGTTCTCTTGGCGTCTTTAATGAGGCGTGATGGAGGAAACGAAAATCCAATGATTTACGTCCGTGTTTCTTCTCGGGCTTATTTCTAGGCTTCTCGTTGTACTTCGGTGAGATATAACTTTTTAATGATAACGAGGTATAAATTGCTTTTTATTCTCGATTTCTCGAGAACGTATGTGCATGTTAAATTTAATATTCAAGGAACAGATGACATTTTTGTCACGATATAAAAGTTCTATGAAACCGCTGTTTACCCAGCGATATATCTTGAGACGTCACTGAAATGCTTTTAAAGATTTCTCGAGTCTCTAAGGTCATCGTACATTTTTATGCGAGGTCCAGGACAATTTTTCAAACGCCCATACTCTTCCCACAAAGAGCCGTGCCCTCTGATTCACATATCAATTTATCCGATTCAAATGCGCTTTATACGTCACATTAACAATTTCCAGATACAAAGTATCATAATTTCAGAGTGAACGACCCATTAACCAAAATTAATTCGAAATCCATATAAATTCAAAATGCCATCAATTTGCAATAAATACAAGCCAGCTACGTTCCGTACGACACGTAAGCCATAAATCTTCCGTTGTATAAAATAAATAAAAAGATTTAAAAAAGTAGTTATACACGATCCATGTTCACATACCTGTATCAGAGCAGATAGAAAAATAAAGATTGTCAAGCAGGAACCGTTCGTTGTCTTCCGGCATAGTTTATGGATTCAGACACAAGAATAATCCCAAGACAGGTTATGAGTTAATGTATCGGTTTGGGGTAATGCTAGCATGGGCATTGATGTATGCCTAGCATTTGGCCGCGGTCAACTAACAAGGCAACCAGCTGCCATCCAGTCTTGAGGAAATCTATCTGTCTGTCGAGAGCCGGACAATGGCGATACGTCTTCGTCTTCCTTAGTTCCGAGATTCGACTATCGAGTGACTTCGCTTTGTCTCGGTCGGAGCTATGACTTATGGGTATCTTCTTTACCGACCGAGTCATTCGTACGGTAAGCTATTTATCGACTGTTCCTTGCGGTATGATCAGACCGCTGTCGTTCGTAAATCTCAGGTAAATTCGACGCGGTTCGATGAGCCCGGAGTTGCGTGAGAGAACGAGAGAGAGAGAGAGAGAGAGAGAGAGAGAGTAAGTAAACAAGAGAGACAGAAGGACAGAGAAAATTATACCTGTAAGAGTATTCGTTGGTATTCGAAGGGAAGGTCCCTCGAATGTGGCACGCCATGTAACCGCAAGATTTATGGTTATTTAGTGATTCTTTGGTAAGCTTTAGAGATGTACACATACACATAATACGGTATACGAGGTACATTGAATAAACCGTACGAAGTTGAGACGTTGGTTTACGACGTCTGAGCGTCGGATATGCGTCGCGGTACGATTACGAAGTTATTGATTATGGATCAGGGACATATTGATACTGGGGAGACTGACTTTAATAGCTCATATATAAGAGCTTTATTAATGACGCTTATATGAATGCGTACAGGTAAAAATAATGTTAGAAATAAAAAAGCTAACCTGTGACATTATTAATTTAAATTGTTTCGATACTGTAATTAATGACACTCGCGGTCGATAGTCATAATTAAAATATATTCACTTATAATTATCCTTAATGGCCATTAAGGCACGCATAAATTATAAGAATCGCGATTCATAACGACTTTTAAGGAGTCTCAACACGCGATGATGAGATGGCACTATTTACGTCAGCTTATTTTGCGTAGGGCTAATTGGTCAAAATAAGATTTTGCATGCGATAAACGTGTAAAGCAGTTGCGTGTCCTATATCGTGTTACGTTGATAAATTCATGTATGACGACGTCACAGGAAGGAACTATAATTCAGTAGGCTGAAACCCGCTTTGATAAAAAAATTAAATATAAAGTAAATCAAATTAATTTAATATAATACATATATACACATATATATTTATATAAGAATCGATTGGGTTAATTGGTTCAGATTTTTGCATAGCTCAACCTGTCATATTTATTCGTGTGAGGCCATAATCTTCGTGGGCAGTGACTGTATAGATTGGCTACCATAAAGTTCGGGTGGCTGTTGGTAATAGCGTGCACGATAATGATCACGATAATAATGATGTATTAATTCTTAGAAAGTCAGCCAGTAAGTAGCCGGCGTGTAATTTATCAGAGCCTTATACGACTATTCCTCCACGCATCCCAACGGCATTCTGGGTAATCGTGTAATATAATTAATGGGCATACGTGTGTTTGCCATTGATGCCCGCTTATAAATCACAGGATTTTATACGTCCCCCAGGTAACATTAAGTACCATTATCACCTGGCATAATCATACGTTTCTCAACCGCGAAGAATGATGCTAGCCTTTGGCAATGGACCAGTATCCATATATATATAAATATATATATATATATATATATGTATACATAAATATAAATTAATTTGACACAGGTTCACTTTCTTTGTAAAAATAAATATATATATATATATTATAAACAATGCACTTACGTACCCATATACATGTATAGTGCAGTAAGAAATATGCATAGTAAATGAGAATTGCATAGAGAACGGACCGATAGATAAAGTAATTATAAAACAATTAATTTACATAATGATAATTATTCATGGAAATGTATCATTCTGAGGTAACAACAAAATGGCGAATGGTACCAGCATCCTGATGCTTGTGGTTAAAATACAATAATGCAAATGTGAGAAAGTCTATAGTATGATTTATATTGTTTATTCGTATCTCTATTTTCTTCTCTCTCTCTCTCCTTCGTTCTTCGGACTGTAGTAGATACTGACATTGTATTACAGACAGACGTTATCTCAATTTGTACGTGTAACACATTACTTACGCGAATGAAAAAGTATGGTGCACCTCTTGACGTGCAAATATATTGCGTTCTGTTTTTTAAAATTATTTTCTTTTTTTATCGTCGTCTCTCTCTCTCTCTCTTGTAATTTTTCGCCATTATCATTGCTCTTCGCACTCGCACGATATTTAGAGATGCACGTGAAACTTGTCATATGACGTCATGCTCAACGACCATAACCAGAACCGCATGCGGTATACAATGCGTAATAAATTGAAGTACTCGAGTGCTTATTAATATCAATTTTATTATATGGATTCCAATTAATGTGAAATTACAGAAAAAAATATGGTTGTGACAAAATTAGGTTAATTTCGCATACGGCTTGTGAAATTAATCCAAAACGAATTCTTAACATATCCGCAATGCATTGCATAATGGCTTCCGCGGAGGGATTTTTGAAATTTTGAAAAAAAAAAAATTGTGTGACAGGTGTTCGGAGATTTTTATGTTTGTGGTAAGTTTTTCATTTTCGAATTTTCTGAAAATTAGTTTTATCCTCTCGATAGACATATATGTATATAACGGGTGATACTTGAAATTTGAGAAAATATTTATTTAATCCTCTTGTCATTTCTACCGGAATACTATGAAAAAGGTTGACGTGCAAATTTGGCGTTCTTTTCCACCTGAATATCACCCAAGCACGTGATACGAGATGCGAGATATATGGACCGAGCGCGGATGCTGCAGAAATCAGTGGGAGATATGCAGAACGTTTGGTTTACGATTGCAATATTTCACAGTGAATTTTATGAATCGTATGAGTTCTGTAATAAAATCAAGATGGGTGAAAGTCCGTGCGAGTCGCCGCAATTTAATAGGTACGTTCTCGGTGGCTTTAACGTTATGTAATGATCCCGACGTTAAGACGTTGATTGAGATCTCGAATACCCGCTTTATGGACTTTATAACGAGGGCTGCTCCGCAATCACGAGCAGATGTAGCAACGTAACCTTAAATTATTTACGCAAAAGTTACGTGCGCGAATAACCGATAAGTCTTCATCTGTCCGGTGGAAGCAGATGTTTCGCACAACCGTGCAAAAAAGAATAATAACTTGTATCAGGACCTATTTGCGACCAACGTATGTGACCCAATTTTCGCGCATCTTACGTTTTTTTGCAAATGGTCCAGATTTGGATGCTGGGCAAATTGGGAGTACCGAAGAGTGGGAGATTCGTGTAAAAAATTAATATCGCTGCTCATTTATATATAACTAATTATTCGTTATCGGATCGCATGTTGGAATTACCTTTGGAAATTTCTTCCGATTGGTTACCAACCACGTTATGCTTAATTACTTGAATCCTCGTTAGCCGGTATCTGGATACAAGGTTTGCGTTAGGAAAAAGACACGTGGGATGTTATCCTACGATAAAACGAAGGACAGGAGTGGCTGGTTGGGATTTCAGGTGAAAAATAACGTTTACGTGAGGTGGTCGGGTAACGCGTGTGTTATAATGCCTGGACTGTGTATACGTGGTTGGTATCAGTGGTCCGAGGCAGTGACATATTTTCAAGTCGACAGGGATGCGGGCACGGTGGCGTAAGGTACGATTACGCAATCAGCTAATGCGACGATTAAAATGTCATTTAAATTTAACGATTCGTTGGAGGGACGGGATAAATAAAAATGCATTTTTATTGCTTTTTCTGGGGACAAAGGGAATTTCATGCGCATGCGTGAAGAGGATACCGATAATACGATGATCAACGGGGACGGATAAAATCGTATGGAAAATGAAATTTGGTGACGGATATTTTTTTTCTACCTCTTGTATGTCCGTGGAGTGAATTTTACGTAATTATTTATACAGCTCGGATGAAGCTGTAATTTTTTATTCGCTAGCCGGAAAAGAGTGCCGGGTGAATCGAGCGTTAAAAGAAGTTTGAGAAGGAGAGAGAAGGAAGTTCTCAAGAGGCTTGACGGTAAGTGCGAAACTGTCGGTCTTAAATCTCTGCCCGGCAATTAAACGCCGCTGAGGATTACGCCGGAGCAGTATCTTGGTACAGCGAACGGAGGGTTGCGAGATCCATCGAATGGTCTTGGATGTGGCGAGAGGATAGAGAAACGTGAGGGATAAGGTCCCTCAGGATTTGGATGAGAAGATGAACAGAGCTTAGGGCGCGATTCCAGAATGCTTCAACAGCCTCCGTATACGAATAACCGCTGAATCATCCACAAAAAAATTATAATTAGATAACAAGACAATTAATATCCCTTATTAAAAATTTCCAAAAATTTCCAAAAAAAAAAAAATTTCAAAATTTTTTTCCTCAAAAATTATATTTGTCGTTACAGGGTAAAATTAGAAATATCACATATAAAAATGTTAAAAAAATTATTATTCAGTTTCAACCATCCCGGTCGGTAATACAGAAATCAAGGTGGACAATTCGGAGGATATAGTCCGGTCCTGGTAACGGTCAAGAATGAAATCCCAGGAAATCGATAAAATCTTCCGTCGGGCAGCGCGGATTAGATACTCCCAGGCAATCACGAGCCGGGCGACAAATGTGATCCAGCCGACGCGACGTCGGGGTGGAGAACACGGCGTTGCTATTGATGGGCCGGAAGACTTATGTGTCGGGGCACATTTGTTCGGCCATTAATCGAGCCGGTGTGCCGTACCGGTTTGCTCGCGCGGGCCAGAAAAGTAGCGCCCAGCTCAGCAACGGCGTAGGGTGATTTATCCGAGTCGCCCCCGGGCCACCGCCTCCCTAATCTCTCTCCCGGCCACCCCAGTTAACCCCGCGTTATCCTCTCTGTTCATCTTCCTGACTCTTGGCCCTTACTTCCTACTCTGCCTCCGTTCCACCCCCTCGCACCCCCTAACCCTCTTCGCCCCATACCCAGCCAGTCTGATACCCTCACTACCCTGACCTCCCTTCTTAGCCTCTTAACACAGCCCTCCTGACTCGTTCTCTTCTCAACCCCTCTACCTTTCCCTCTTTATCACCCTCCCTCCCTCCATTCCACCCCTCTCCACCCTCATGAATCACTTCTCGTATCTTCGCAAAGATCCGCTGGGATTCGCTTAGCCGATACACACCGAGACAAAGGCACCACCACTGAACAACCCCCATCCATTGTCAAGCCTATAAAGACCCCCGCCACCTACGTACCGACTCGACTGGTATCCCACCGTGGAATCCTTAAAACATAATTTCCTACTTTCAACTCCAAATTATCATAACAAAAAAAGAAATTAAAAAATTAAAGTTTATAATATTCATGGTCGGGATGCAATCCGCGTTAAAATAAAAAAAAAACTACCCTTCCGGAACCCTCGCTAACTGCCTATCGACACAGGGGCTCAACGCACATCCAGCCAACGAACAGACGTACGATCGGCGAGACGCCATACGTCTCGAAACGAGTGCCAAATAAATTTCAAGTCCACGGGATTTCCTGCTCGGATTTATTACCCAAGAGCGAACGGCTCGTCGATATACGTGAATGCATGGCGCAACTTTGCGTGCGCACCGTCAGCTACGCGTAGGCCACCCTGTCGTCATTTTATATACGTAACCTATGTTTCTACACCTCTGCCGTACGTGCGCCTCGCTTCTCGCGCGTGTCTCATTACACCGGGATGGACAAGAAAGCTCGTTGGAATACGAAGCAATTAATAACCGAGCGTGCAGATTAACGAGCGTTGCGACAGAGTTCTCTTGTAATTATATATATATATATATATATATATATATAATATATGTATATTGTATTGTATTGTATATATGTATATTATATATATATAATATATATATATATATATAGCAATGTATGTAAATGCAGAATAATTATATCTACAGCCAGACAATTCATAGATTTGATCAGGCGCACATTCGACTCGAGTCGACGACTCCAGAGGGCACTGATGGTATTAACGTTCCTCTGTATTCGAAAGGTACTACCTTCGACTAGTACCTTAAGGTACTTCAGAGTGATACTAGGTATGTATATGTATATACGTACTCCAAGAGCAGAACGGATACCCTGCGTGACTAACGACCGGCAATTGTCTTTACGACGGCTCATTAATTTCCGCCACGCAATGCGGGGGTCACTAGCTCGAGGGCTACGTCTACGCTCGACACTTTGTCTTTAATGCGGGTAGGTTGTTTATGGATATGCCTGACACTATGGTGCCATTTGTTACGAAAATACAATCACGTAATTACCCGACGCCGCCCCCGAGACTGCAATATAGTGATACGTACCGTAGACTTACACGAGAACATCGACTGTATAGACTGTTGGGAATAACTTTGAGTTACGTCGATTAGTATATCCGAGTCGAAGACACTCCTCGATTGTATTCTATATTACCGTTGTTCGTACGAGCGACGCCGTAATGGGACAGAAAAGACGTAAGATATTTTATAACGGGTGTTAAAAGAAAATTTTTTTTTTTTTACAGTGCAAAAGGAGTGGGTGGTACGATTTTTGGTATGTTTATGTAATTTTGTCTAGTTATTTTTTTTTTTCGAATTTTTGTTACTCCCGCCATTATTCTACTACGGACACGAAAGATAAGGAATGTCGGTTTTAGATAAAATTCTGACGTCCCAGATGAATCGACGTGCTCGGTTATCTTCTCGTGCTTGGGATTTCAGTTGTTAAATGGCACGTAAGTAATCATTCCACGTGGTGGCGGTGTCTTCTAACTCACTCTGTCGTGACAGCTCAGCGGGAGCAAGCGTTCTAAATCTACGATATTCTTATCTTGTTGAGAGAGTAGGTGACTCCGTCTCCTCTTTCTCTCTTTCTCAGTCTCTTTACGAAGCCATCGAAGCTATTCTCGCCCGTGACCCTGCGACTCCGGTCTCCCTTCACCCTCTGACCACCCTCCCATTCTCGCAGGTTTCGAGCGTTTGTCATTTTTTCCAAAGGACGTGCCGCGACGCGCGACAGATTTTATGCCTCCTAATAATGCGCCAATGGCAGTCGTTAGAAATAACTATACTCCCGCTGAGATACCAATACCCGTCGTTACTCTTTCGCTGTTCCCTTTCATCTCTTGAAATTGCCACTTTCATGTACCAGTAGCTTGTCCGGTATAATGATAATATTATACGTTAATGGGACAGTGAAAAATTTCGATTGGGATTGTACAGTGCTTTTTTTCTTTGATTAATATTTTAATTTTTTTTCTTATATATACGGGTATAGGAATCATTGGCTTAACCACAGGTTGGCAAAGTGTTAGCTACTTCTTTAGGGGTTCCTAAAGGGTTAACGAAAAGGGAATAGGGCTGAGATGCCCACGACAACTTTAACCCCGATAAGGGATGCGAGGTGGTGCACCCTTCTTGGTGGCTCCGGGAGATTAGATGCCGGCAATTAGCGGGAAATATGAGGAGAGCTTGTACTTCCAGGGCTGGCTCTAAGGGAGTTTACACGGAGCTTCAAGGGTTGCTGGTTGGGGTTGCAGACTAAACATGTTCGCCCCGTTAGCGGCGTGTTACTCGATTAACACACCGTAGCAGCGACACACTGTAAATTATGGGACGTTTCCTGAAGAACGTAGGTTAAAGTAGGGTAGGTGAGGCAGTTCGCCGACAGTAAAGACGTCGGGACGCGAGGCGTCGTGAAGAGGTCAAAAAATTAAAAATATTTTTCGAGACATTTAAAATTATTTGAAAATTTTTACAACAATTTTATACATTTTTTCTCACCTATTGGATATAGCAAAAATTAATTACCCACAATCCCATAGTATTTTGAGCAGCGAATTAATCAGATTCCTTGTCACTTTTTTTTTTCCCTCGACTATTCAGGAATTCCACGAAAATAGTTTAGTACCGGTGGCTAAGTTTAAAGGCAGGTTCCAAAGACTTCTCGGTATTTCACTCGTTAATCACGCAAACGGTGACAAATAACATTGAATTCCCATGGCGACGTCCGGATTCCACTATTTCGTAAACCGTCATGACTGTCGCTGCCAAGAAATTCATTGAGAATTCAAAACGCATAGACAATGTCCGGACCTACGTATCGCCATAAACAATGCCTGATTTCTGTCTAGAGTCGTGATCGAATTATCCCGTTAAAGGTCACCAGAGTCAAACCCCAACACGAAGTGTGCCATTTCGATATAAGTCAGCGCGCGTGTCCCGTGCTTTAACGTTGATTAGCATTCATGCGCAACGGGGCGACAAAGTGCAGTGATACATCACTGTCACTCGGTTGCCGTGTTCCCAGCTAACTAGAGTGACACCGCGATAACAACGCTCGGAGTATTTTGAGCGTCACTGAAAAATGCAATGGAACGAAAGATTCTTCCGAAAATAATTTAGACTTTTGACGCTTGTGGACTATACGTATACAGACGTAGGTCTCATAAATCTGTATCATATATATTAATAAAGGAAAAATGCCATTCACAGTTTTAAACAATTTTTTTGAATGAATAATTTTTTTTTCGAAAAAAAAGAAAATGGTGCAATCCGACAAAGATTCCTCAGGAATTACAACGTCCCTGCCGCGGATCTGACACGACGAGGTCTCAGCTCGTTACGCCGCATTAACATCGTGTCCTGTTTTTTATCTCGCTTGTTAATCATTTGTTGGCCAAGCTCGCACGGCGTCCCTACGCCATACTATAAGGCACGGTAACATGCCTCGTGTTCTGTCCTTTAATTACGAGCCTTGGCTGTGCCAGCCGACACCGCGGCGTGCCGGTTGATGTCAACCTTCATCTACCGAAAAGCAAATAAACGCCGAAGCGATGCGTCCGTCGTTCAATCAGCCGGCGTGATAAGTCACGAGCAGAAATCGGAATGACGTCAGGACGAGACTAGGCAGGCACACATGACACTCCACGACTACCCTTTATCGGTAGTGTCCATCACTCCGAGCCTCGGTAAAAAAATATGAAAGAATTGAATAATCAATTAAATCGATAGTGGATCGATTCATTCGATAAAATAGAAGCAACTTCAGGCAGTTCCTTTATGCATACAATTTTGACATACGACTCCTGATAAATAAAAAATTATTAATTATTATTATATTAATTATTAATAATGCATTAAAATAATAATTATAATATTTTTATCTTATATCATTTAACGGTGACAGATTTTATGACTGTTACGAATCGTTAGAAATTTTTTATTATTTCTATTAACTTGACAGTATATCTTTGCCTTCGTGTATATGAATATCGTATACATCTACCAGTATCTATAGATCGTGCTTGGCCCTGTGTGTCTTGGCATAATAAGAGGCTCCTGGCCCTCGTAGCCGCGCCACTTAGTGCAAATAAATCTTTCTCTTTATAAATAATTTATTAAGGTATTTCAAGCCGCACAAGACGCAAGCAGGCAGACAGGCAGCCGAGTCAGACTCGAAGCCGCAGCCGGTCGTAACGAAGCGACGGCTGCCCGCGGGTCATCGCAGGGCCGGTTCGATCCTTTCACCAGCGGGAAAGGATCAATTAGAAAAAAGCAGCCGTGGGTGGGAATAAATTTCGCTGCATGAAATTTATGTCCAGGATTCACGCGACTTTTCGGCCATCACGCGAACGAGTTTTTCTTAGGTTGGCAATCGGGCTCCGGTACAGAAATTAATATATAGTAATACAACAGGAGATACACCTATAGCAGATATCCTACAGTTGGCTATTAATAATTCGAGGTCAAAGTTGAATTCTTCAATGTTTAAAACCCATTGAAGATCGTCGATGTACCTAAGAGATAGTGGCTCTAGGTAAAGTTATTCGTTAAGGTTGGTATCCGTGGTTAGTTATTTTCTTCTACACGAACTAACCATGCGGTTGGTATGCGACCAAATTGCAAGTTCAGTCAGTACGCCAGAGATGGAACCTTCCGAGCTGTAAAAAAGACGACGTACGCGTATCTGTGGCGGAAGTCGTTCCATGTAAATGATATAGACTGACCTGAGTCTTGACCTCAGTAATTTTTAATCCGTCCTTCTAACGTCCTGCAAATGGTGACAGGGTTAGTAAAACCATAGAGTACGGACACCTAGCACGGTGCACCGTTGATATTTACGAGTAGATAGGACAGACCATTAAGCCCCAATCAGATGCCTCGAAATGGCCAACGTATTTTCCGTACTGCGAATGGGGCGACATCTTTTATGACCGGCTTCATCTCGACGACTCTTCTCCGCGCTGCAGCCTGCTGCATAATGTCCGGATGGTCATTCCCTTATCTGCACGCTCAATCAGCCGCAACAGCTTCCTTCGTAGCGAGTGTGCACGAGAGGTGCGCGTCCCTGAAGCGAAATCGATATTGCGTGAGAGGTTTGGAAGATTTGAAATTTTTATGTAAAATTTGATTTTTCAAAAAAAAATTTTTTAATATAACTTTTACGGACTTCACGTAAACGGTACTCGGATCCGATTGTTAACTTGTCCTGGAATCAAATGCCGAAATGTATTGAAAATTTAATAACAGTCTACTGTCGACTTCATAACCGATAGGATTGACGTTGAAGTTTATCTGGGCGACACCTGTCATCTCAATGAGCAGACAGCTCCGGATGCAGTGCGAACACCACTGGCACAATGCGGACAATGGAACTGTCCATCAGTCACTTCTACACCGGTACAATATACAGATCCATGAAGTTTACCACGGCCAGTGATCGGAGACTGGTCATTTTGATCAGTCCGTCATTTTTGACCCTAAAGAAGCAGCACTCTATTCGCGTTGAGAATTGGGCCTTTTAATGGCATTAAAGAGTCTACGATATTGTTATCGTAATCGGTGAGGAAATTTAATAATTTTATTTTTTTCATACGGGTACTGCTATAGGATATACTAAAAAAAAGAAGTTCCCTTATAAGGTCACGTGACCATTTCGCGCAATCGGTTATCCGTATAAAGAATGGAATAGGTATAAGGATATTAGACGAGGGTCGTAGCGAGAAAGTGTAGCAAGCAAACAATCGTTAGCGCTTGAGTTCTCGAGCAAGAGCCGTAGGTGGCAGGCATGTCAGATGGGAACTAATGGGCGGCTGTCGGGGGGGCGGAGGTCGACCATCCATCACCCAGCAGCGGCCACCTTCATCATCCCGTTTCGCCCTCTGCCCTTTGGGCTACCCTCGGCCACTAAGTTAGGGAAATCCGTGGTCCGAAAGAGCCAAGGCTTCAGGCTGGTATAAGGAGGACAAGAAATAGGTGGACCCTGGTGGCAGCTGGCTGGAAGATGAAGGTAGATAGGTGTTGACAGCTACACCGTGAATCTGTCAATTAAATCACGAAGCATGACCACGTGGTAGAAACTCTTACAAAGGATTTCCTACGTCACATCCATGAAGTGTCGGTGGTCGTGAAAGTCCGGATAACGGATTCGTGAAATTGTTGTAAAATTATTTTGAGAAAAAAATTTTGTTTTACATACGGCCACGTGGTCGCGCATGCGCTGTGAAGGTTTTCGAATGTAACAGCGGAAATGGCGCGGACGATTGGTTGGCTTTTTGTAAATCGGACAGGTGCACGAATATTGGGTAAGGGTGGAGACAAGGGTGGCGAGGAGATTTATGCCAGCTTTTAGCACCGGCTCCACCCTGAAGACCCATCACCTTTCGGCAGACTCTCATAGTCCCTTCTATGGGCAATGATTCACGTCGGCGCCATGTTTAGAAAACGATACTATATAGCGAGATTTCTATCTACTGTCTATATCTTGTTGGCTCTGTGGACACCCTGTATATTCTTGGGGTTGAGTAATCGATCGTAAATCATGCCGTCGCGATTAACGTTCCAGAACGACCGGTGGAAAGAATGTAGATAGTAAAAGGCGTAGTAGATAGCGAAGTATTAAACTCCCAATATCCTAATCCGCTAGATATACTATATCGTTTCGATTTTCTGTAGCAGATTCGTGGTAGGTTGAAAAAAGAAATTCAGTTCTATTCTTAAAAATGAGAATCCATTTGGGAAATAAGAAGGAAATGATAATATCGATAATACCAAAGGATACGTATACTACGTAAGGTCGTAGAGTAGTAAGTGACAAGAGCATAGGAAAAGAATGGCTTATATCGGTATAGTCCGCAATCCTTATCTATCCACCCCAGGAGCCTCTCGGAGCTTCTCTACGGTAGATGAAGCTTTGGGACCATTACGGGGGTTAGGTTTGGTACTAGAGGGATGATATTTTCTACTTTGCCGGTAAACGAGAAACCTGCATATTTTTTAGCGATCTCAGCTACTCTCCAGGATAGTGCCGCTTCCGGAAAGGAATAAGGGATGATATAAAGGACTGCGAGACTTGGATTCAGAGAGGTGAGGTGAACCTGGCTGAACTATCGGGGTTGTACTGGGTTTCCAGTGGGTTGAACTGGGCTGAACAGGGCTGGACCTAGTTGGACTGGGGTTCGGGCTAGCAGGGATTTATAGTCAAAGTCTGCGTGCAATCGCTGGCTCATACATCACTCCTCCCTTCTCTTTACCCCCCGGGAGGCTAAGAAGTTCGCGAAGCCGTAGGCAGGGTCGAGGGTGAAGGACATCACTCACTGGTTCGCTTGCTCCAGCATCCAGCAACAGTACCAAACCTTACCCTCTCTTACGAGGGAGAGGACGTTTGTCCTGGCTGTCTTCTACGACAGATCGTTACACCCTTGTGCTATTCACCCTCCTGTCCATCTCAGTTCCGCTTCGATTTACAAAGTCGATACTGGTTTTCGAATTTTGTGAGAGGACGAGCCGTGACGTCGGAAAGACGTCGCTGTGCATTTTACATGAAAATTCTAACCCAGTTTAATTGTTTATATATGATTCAAAAGAATAATTGAGAAATTCAATTATTTTCTTATTTTTGAGGTATCGCTGTACTGGGGCGTCGCGACGCCGTGCGTCTGCGTACGATACCTCAGGAGAGCAGGACACGCTTCGCAGCCTTTCCTCTTCGTCGCTCGGCTTCCTTTATAAACGCGGGGCACTCCATTGACGGTAAGTGCGGTTAAAGGTCGGTTCACAGTGGGCGTGGGATGTTTAAGATCCTTCCCGTTCACGGGGACGTAAACCTGTCGCCCGTAAACTTTCTCAGTGTACGAGCGAGGCGAACTAGACAACCCAGAGAGCGCGAAGCTCTTTCCAAGGAAGCTGTAAAGATACTGTTTGTCACACGAGACTGTCACAGCCGTTACCGATTCGTTAAACCGACTAGGCTTACGGCAGCCTTCCACGGCAAAGGGCGACATACGGCCGAGAGGAAGGTATTAAAGATTTCAGCGAAGACGTCAAAAATCCCGTGCTTTATCCCTGAAGCACTTGGATTCCAGAGTCAAAATTTTTTCCAAAAAATTTTTTGACGGACTAAAAAAAATTTTTTATTACATTCGACTCTACGTAAAATTTTGTCAACTGAGGTCATAAAAAAATTTCAGTCAAAAAAATTTATGTAATTTCACGTATACCCTTCCCAAAGTTGACTGTCTCGCGTATATGTGTTTCACGTAAAATCGTATTGTGGAATAGGAAACGGAATTCACTTTGAACAAGGAACAGAGTGGAATGATCGAAGGTAACAGCTGCGTCTTAGCAGTCTCGTCTAGCATCCTGTTCATCTCTCAGACGAGAGCTACTTTATACTGCCGAAGCTGACAGGTTTACACCGTGGCCATTTGTTAAGTAAACAGTTGTATATTTTAATTAAGAGGCGAAACATCTCACGGCGGCTTGGTGAACTTCTTAAATCCATGTCGAAAAATATTATCGTCACGTGTTTCCAAGTAATCCGGTAGTTGCGTTGGTTGCCGTGGCGCTGCTCGAAGGCGTATATAAAACCAGGCCATAAAATACGAGCGGATGTGCATTTATTTGTTTACCTACGCATGCGCGGACATAGAAGCGTTAACGCGAGACCGTATTTACTTCGTGGGTAGGTTTATTTTTAAAACGTCGATCCGCAGGAATTCTCTTTCTCGGCCGCGTAAACCTATCAGCGACGTTAAGCCTCAGGAAAATTAAGCTCCCATCACAATTTCTGTTCTTCCCACCATCAATAATAAACACCCCCTGTAAAATTCACACAACACCACGACGACCATCTTTTCACTCGTTGGACAGTCATACCCGATGGATCTCAAGCATATATTTCACTGTTGCCCAAATACACCGGATATGGTTATTAAGCGTTTTGGTAATGGAGAGTGGAAGTAAGTGTATCCGAAGCGTGTAACCCAATCCCATTCCAGATGGTTAAATCCAAAAGGGAGGGAATTCGAATTGGTCGAAACAGAGTGGTTTGAAAAAAATGAGGGTGCACGGATTCGGAGAAGGGACCAAAAAAAAGACAGGAGGAGGATGGAGGGAGAAGGAAATTTTCTTGTGACAGATTTTACCCCCTTCAACCCCGCGTGTCTTTTTCTTCTGCCTGAAATATCCTATAACTTTCCCTCTCAAGATACGGTGGAACTAATGATTTGGCTTCGATTTCCAGGCCGAGCGAGCACGTCATGGGGTCGAAGAAAGTCGTTCGTCACTTAGAAGTCATTCCTCAATCGGGGTGCAGGCGTCCCTTACTCCCTTGAAGGCAGCCACAAAGCAGCAACTGGTGGGTACCGGCGGCGTAAAGACTGCTTGCACCAGTCTACCCTACCGCCATACTTCTCTCTTTCATTATCTCTCTCGCTCTCGAGCCTAGCCCTAGGTCTCCTTACCCTCGCACTTAGTCCCTCTCTTTCTCTCTCTCTGTCTCATGTGCTGTGGCCACCCTCGAGCACGGCTACCCCTGGCAGAATTAATTATTACGTTTCTCCCCGTAACAACACGCGCGCACTAATTTGGAAAACACGCGGAACGATTTATAGGCGGCGGCTGTCAGCTCTCAGCGTGTGGTGGGAAAAACAGAAATCGGCTGCCACGTACACGCACGTAAATTCTCATGTTCCTGACTTTTTAATGTATTTCTTTGATCTCGCCTACGCGACGCGCATGCATATTTACTATATGCGCTACCGTGTGTATGCATGGATATATGTATATGCTACACGAGGCTCCTTTCAGTGCGCTATAAGGATACGTGAAAAGCCGTTTTCTATAGGAGTCCTTTACCCGTTCCGTCATTCAAGGAAATGCTCGGCTTTCGTATCCACGCACTTGAAACTTCCGTCGGGAATTGCGGGAATATTCATTCGCGTAATTCTACAGGGTGGCCCTGGATAAAATTGTCAATAACTGCACCGACGTACCGGGTCGTCATTGGAAAACGTAAATTCGTTTCTCAGATAAGTATCGCGGGTCAAGGAAGCAGCGAACGAAGTAATCTTGTTGGGTATCACGTGTCTCGCGGAGACTTACTAGGAGATGCTACCGTGGTACTGTAACAAGAGTAAAGGGATGCTGCATCGAATATTGATATTCCGAAATCTTATAAATTTTGAATTTTTTTTTTGAATTTGCAGATGAGATTCAGAGTGATCTTGAAGTTTTGTAATTTATTGATTTTGCTATACGGGGTGAACTGTATATTCGAATTTAAACTTTGGTACGTTATGTACCGGGTGGGGAAACTTGGAAATTAAACTGTCAGGGACAAATGCAGATTTTATAGAATTATGAAGCTGGATCATTTTGGAAGAGATTGTGGTACCACTTAAGTTCACTGTCAGCTGTCTGTCTGGAGCAGAGACATCAAAGTGACAGATCGATCAGTTCTTCCTGACGTTATGGTAATTCCAGGAGTTTCTGCTTTATTGACTATGATGGATTTGACAGATTTGAAAAATGGCGAGAAATTGATAATTTGTTTTCTCTTTTTCAAATTTTTCGATTGGTCGACCGAAGGAGTGATCACTATAGCGAGATTATATTCTACGCCAATTTATCAATGGGGTATTTCTACGTGGTGGTTAACCCAAGAAGAACACGGTACACTCTGTTAGGAAATTAAGTATAAACTCGGTCCAGCATTCAGCTGCTGTAAAAATGTATCCTCCTTCTTTTTTTCTGTTTCATCGGGATTGCTCGTCACAACAACGTCCCGTGTAAACGTCTTGACGATATCCGGGAGAGATTTTTTAAGATATTTCTGGGAGGATAGTTTCTATCAGGATTCTTTTAGTGGCTGACTGTACCCCAGTGCAGTATACTACGGCATAGGGCTATAAAACAGGATATAGGCGTGAAACGAATTCCGAGCACAGTTTATGTCCCGGAAAATACGAAAGCTTTCACGGGGCGACGCCGCGCGCCGTGTCAAGACGTGTCAGCGTCAGACCTACGGGAAATAAAGGAACGCGACTAATTCAGTTGAGACGAGAACGACTTGGGCGAGAGAGGGAGAAAGGAAAAAAGAAAAAAAAATCCCACAATTCCAAAAAAATTACACGAAACTCTGAAAACTGGGTATATACCTGCATAGATAATTGGATGAGCATCCTGATAATCATAATAATTACAGGTAATAAAAAAAAAATTTAATTAGTCCTATAATATAAAATAAAATTTTTGTAAAATATTTGAAATATGTGACGAGTTCAAAGGGCAAATATCATTACCAATGTGAAAACGTAAAGTTGCAAGAACCGAAGAATCCATATAAGGTGAGGTTAAGGAATCAAGTGAGAGATAAAAAGATAGAATAAGCCCCGACAAACGTAGACGTCGACAAAGGACCATCCTCCCCCCTCCGCCCTCCCCCCTTAAACAGCTTCCTTTACGACGCCTCTCTTCCGTTCCGCAACTGCCGGTTTCGCGTCGTCTCCTTCCGCTGTCGGCCATTATAATTCTCTCGCGCCTTTAGCCGCAGTCCGCGTGACATTCAGCCACGTGGATTCGCTCGCAGATGTCAAGCAGATGTCAGATGAGAGACACGTGGAGGCCAACCGCGAGACGTAATAAAGTACGAGAGAGCATAAAAGCGTCCAGCGAGCTCGAAGGCAGTAAATAAATGTACAGTAGATGCCTGAAAGTGCGACGTCAAGTGATGATCAGCCAGAGTCATCTTCTTGGTCCAGTATCGTACCCGCAGCATCCCTGCCCATTTGCCACGTAGCGAACGAACGGCTTCGCCGAGGAAGATCGTCCAAGCAAAATCCCTTGGTACCCGATCCGTTCTTGGTCAGGATTGACGTTGGGACTTCGTCCCGATGAATTATGCTCCAGATACGTCGAGGACAGTCCGTGCGGTCCAGATCTTTATGAGAAGCCATTAACGTCCGACGCAAACTTTCCCGCAGGAAGATCGGACGTCCAGTGCGCCGCCTTTATGAGGTCCACGGTGCGTCAACGCGTCTCTAGTCTCTTTATGGGGCCATCCGCGGGGCAGGGTGAGCTCCACGCTCTTGGAGAGCCCGGCAAACGAGTGTAGCGTATGATTTAAGGGGGTCTCGGAGCCCACCCTACATGCGCCAAGGATATGAGTTACTGCGCCATATAATTCCATAATTCAGATTCATACCCGGAGTTTACGGCGTCTGGGTAACAAGCAGACTGCGCCCGTTGTTTTATGGCCTGCCCACCTACGACCCTCCGAGCAACCCCCCTTACCCCTTCACCACCCCTCTTCAACCGCCCTCCAACGAACTCCAATCCACCCCCTGGTCCTCGACTCTCTACTTCAATTCGTAAAGCCTTCTCACCTACTCCCCCCTACGCCCCCCCCCCCA